CACTAATCTAGTTTCTTCATATCCTCAATCAGCATTTGATATTGTCATTTTTTAATTTTAGTTTTCTGATAGATGTGTAGTGATTTTCCTTGTGGTTTTAATTTGCATTTTCTTTTTTTTTTTTTTTTTTTAAATTTTTTTTTTTTTTTTTCAACGTTTATTTATTTTTGGGACAGAGAGAGACAGAGCATGAACGGGGGAGGAGCAGAGAGAGAGGGAGACACAGAATCGGAAACAGGCTTCAGGCTCTGAGCCATCAGCCCAGAGCCCGACGCGGGGCTCGAACTCCCGGACCACGAGATCGTGACCTGGCTGAAGTCGGACGCTTAACCGACTGCGCCACCCAGGCGCCCCAATTTGCATTTTCTTAATAGCTAATGATGTTGAACCTCTTTTCAAGTGATTATTTACCATCTGTATATCCTCTTCAGTGAAATGACTCTTCATATCTTTTGCCCACTTTCTAATTGGACTGTTTTGTATCTTACTCTTGAGTTTTGAGAATTCTTTATATATATATTATATATCAGCCTTTTGTTGGATATGTGGCCTGCACATATTTTCTACAACTCTGTAGTTTACCTTTTCATCCACTTAACAGAATCCTTCACAGAATAAACGTCTTTAATTTTGATGAGATCCAACTTATCAATTTTCCTTTAATGGGCTGTACTTTTGGTGACCAGTCTAAGAACTCTTTGCCTAGCCTAGCTCTAGACCCTGAAGATTTTTTCCTGTTTTCTTCTAAAAGTTTAATTATTTTATGTTTTACATTTAAGCCCATTATCTACTTTAATTTTGATAGAAGATTTGAGATTTAGGTCAAGGATTTTTTTGTTTGTTTGTTTTTGGTTTTTTGAGTCTATGGATGTCTGTTTACTCCAGCACTGCTTGTTAAACACACACACACACACACACACACACACACACACACACACACACACACACACACACACTTCCTCCATTGGATTGTTTCTGTATTGTTGTCAAAATCAGTTGGACTTCTTTGTGGGGGTTTTCTATGCTATTCCATTGACTGATGTCTCTCTCTTCCAATAGCACAGTAATGATTATTGGAGCTATATAATGTCTTAAAATCAGGTAGATACATTCCTATGACTTTAGCCTTTTTTTTTTTCATAATTATTTTGGCTATCAAGTTCCTTTGCCTCACCATATAAATTTTAGAATCATCTTTTCTATGCCTACTAACATTATTGCTGACATTTTAATAGGAATTGTATTAAATAAATAAATCAATCTGGAGAGAAATGACCATCTTCACCATGTCTAGTTTTTTATCAGTCCATGAACACAGTACCATCTCTTCATGTATTCAGGTCTCTTTTTTGACTTTTTTCATCAGCATTCTATAATTTTCAGAGCACAGATCCTGTATATATTTTGTTATATTTATGCCTAAGTATGTGCACACTTTGCTAGATATATGCTCATTTCATTTTCTTTGGAGCAACTGGAAATGGTATTGTATTTTAAATTTCAGTTTCTATAGGTTTGTTCTTAATAATAGAAATGTGACTGATTTTTGTGTGTGCTCTTAAACTCTGCAATCTTGCTAATTTTGTTTTTGTAGATTCTTTGGGATTTCTACATAGACAATCATGTCATCTATAAGTAGCAACAATTTTATTTCTTCTTTTCCAATATATATCTTTTATTTCACACTACAGGTTTTAACAAATGGCTTCAAAGCCAATATTTTCCTCATTCTTTTGAGAAGTCTCTTTTTACTTTTAAAGTTTCTGATACTACTGGCTTTCTGTTAATATTACAAAAAATTTTGGAGAGGTAGCCTATAATTATTCTCTGAACAATAAAAAATAATTTTGGTTAGGCAAAGACACCAATATTTAAACTAGGGCTGGTTATATCCAATCAAAGAATTTTACTTTCTGACAAGGACTTAGGTATAAATTTAGCCAATGAACAACTTAAAAAAGTCATAAATTGAAATTAAATACGTGGCTGATATAAACTCTGCTCTTTAAACTGACCAGCTCGTCAGTTACATAAACAAGCACTACGAAGATTAAGTTAAACAGGCTTTATATTTCCTATAGCCTCCAGTTCCAGACTACATCTGTTTTCTTTGATACACAAAACCAGAGTTAAAATAGCTCCATTTATCACAGCATGATTGTAGGCAGACAAACCAGCCTGTCTGTTTCCAGATAGTGAAAGCAACTGTTATTAATCACAATTACAGGCCAAACCCTCTAAGAGAAATTGCATCAATATTCTCCCAACCCCCAGCCCTTCTACTCTCAAACTCAAAAATGGTACTGAGAATGTCATGACACTGCCTGAAGGTCAGTAAATAAAGATGACACTAAGAGGTCAACTTGAGTTTTCAGTTCCGGATGCAAATCAAGGAAAATCTTTTCTTCACATAAAAAGAAGTGATCTCTCAAAAGCTCTATCATTAGTTAAGTTTAGCAGGACAATTAAATCCATTCTATTTCAAATTTATATAGAAAGGTTTCTGCTTTATGAAACTATACTGAATAGCACAGGGTATTTGACATTTACAAATTAGATGATTAACTTTAAGCAGAGAGGCATTTATGAAAATAGACATTTTTCTATAGTATATTTTGTAGCCAAGAGTGTGAAGGAAATTTATTTCTCTTTCATATATATAATAGAACTTCCTATAGAACGAGACCAACTGCAGGTTACAGTTGAAAACATGTTAAGACAATTGTATCATATCCCTTGAATGTATGAATCTTTTTCATATAAACAGTAACCTTTTCTTCAATGGTTAAGAATACAAGCCAGAGTTTCCACCTGGAGTTGTCTATTGTTATTTTTTTTAAGCTACTGTGTTTTTTGTTTTGTTTTGTTTTGTTTTGTTTTGTTTGAGTACCTACAACATGCAAGGCACTTTAGATGCTCTACGTACACTATTACATTTAATTCTTATAATAATATACAAGGTAGGTACTATTATTCCTATTTTGCAGAAGAGAACACCAGCTCAGAGAAGTTATTTCCTTAAGGTCACAGAGCTAGTTAAGTGAAGACACAGGAGTCAAATACAGATATGATTCCACAGCCTATGTTCTTTCCCCTTTGTGTATAAGCCTCTTGACCTTTTATTTGCTTTAAGACAAAGTCTGAACGGGATCTTACATACATAATGCATCTATGGAAGAACACTAAAATGGCTGCTGTTGTGCAGTTGTAGAGAAATGCACATTATTTTACCCTACTTTTCTACTGAATAACTGGCTCTAATATACTTTCTCAGAAATATTATGGGACAAACTGAGCCTTTCCACGATTAAACATGACCCTATATTCAAACAAGGCCTGATTATTAAATGTTTGAAGCTAAATTAGTAATGAGACTACAGCCATTCCAATATGAAAGACTCAGAGCTGCTTAAGAATTTGCAAAACTGCCCCAAATTCTGTGAACACCTGGGCCCTTACCCACTCACTTAACATATTCATTGAGCATTTCCTATATAGAAAGAGACAGTCACTGTTCTAGGGACTGGGAAACACAGTGACAAATAAGATAAAGTCAGTAACCTCATCGAACTTATTCAAATGAGAAACACAGAAACTAAACAAGAGAACAGGGAAGACATCTCAAAGAAGGTGACATTTTTATCAGGGAACTAAATCATGGCGAAAGTGAGCCATACAAATATCTGGGGGGCGGGGTGGGGGGACAAGAGAACGAACATCAGAAAAAGAGGGAACAAACACCAAAGGCCTTACAGAGGAAAGGTGGTTGGTATGTCTGAGGAATAGCAAGGCGGCCAATGCCGCTAGAGTAAAAAAGTAGTAAGAGATACAGACGGATAGACACATGTATATCCTTGAAGGTCCTGATAAGGAGTTTGGATTTTATTCTGCCTTGTGAGGAGAAAACACTGAGTTTTATAAAAAAGATTACTCTAGCAGTAACAGAAATGGCCTGAGGGGAGCAAGAACGAAAGCAGACAGAGCAGTTAAGATGCTATTGCAGAAGACTCAGCAGGAAGAAATAGTGATTTGACCTAGAATGTCATGGTGGTGATGCTTTCTGGTATTTGAAAGTCATCAGGATATACTTGGTGTTTTAAACCTGGGAATGAGGTAATCACTGAGGGAGTGAACACAGAAGAACAGACTGGCTCAGCGCCAAGCCCCGGAGCCCACCAATATTTACCAGTTTAGAAGAGGACAAGCTGGCAAAGGGAAAGCATCTTCATTTTACCAGCACACATGAAATATATTTTGTATTTAGGCTTACCTAGTTTCTTTTTCTAGGCAATGGAGGAAACCAGGTAGTTTAGAGTTCGTTTCTATGCAGTTATATTTCTGACCACATAGAAAATAAAAATATGAGAAATACAACAGAAGTAAAAGATTTCTATTTAAATGAGGCAGAATTTCTTAATAAATTAATATGCAATCAAACCTAGATACATTCAAGTTCAAGCCAATAATTTCTAAAAATATATCATTTCATCAAACTTGGAGTCTTCAACAAATAAAGACCAATAGGCCTAGAACCTGAAAATGCACATAAGTTTTAGAAGTCTTATCATAACATGATCTGACCTATATTTGTTTTATTACCTGATACTGCCAACATGTTAGAAACTTACAACCAGGGAGTATAAAAACCACCAGAAAGTCAAACTGATTTACATGCAAGACAGAAAAAAAGGAAAGGTCTGTGATGCAAAAATTAAAATGTTGACTCATTTCTGTTTTACCATCTAAAGCAGGGCAAATAATTAACTTCGTTTCTAAATTAAAGAAACAGAGGTTTTATACTTGAAAATAAAAATGGTAATGTTTAGTATTTCTTCTGTTGGTTACTACCACAACTTAGTCTACCTCAGTAACAGACATAAAAACTCTCAAGAAATATCAAGTGCCTTCAAATTATGTACTATGGCTCTCCCCAACATTTTATCAAACCAATTATTTTTTAATAGTAGGTACAGTAGAAATTCTACCCCCAAAAAGAATACCTCCGTGGTGATGTGAGAGGCTCCCTCCATTAGCAAGGATTTCTTCTCTAGCAGCTGCCTGTATTTGGAAACAACACAACAAATAGTTGCTACTTAGGTTTCACTCTGAAGTGAAAGTTAAGACCAAGCCCCCAAGGAGGCATGTCCTTCCTAGGTTAAATTACAAACTGGATTTCTAATTTTCCTTTATCTTCCTTTGGTTAAGTACATTTAAAACGCAATTAAAATATGCAGCCTAGTTTTATACATTTTTTCTAGTGAATGGTCACAATGTCTACAACAGTCACTTCAAGATTCTAGAAAAGAAAAAGAAGATAAAATGATCAAATTTATTCTATTCTGCAGCACAGAATCGTTAATAGTAAGTTTTGTGAAGATAGTCATGTCTTACTCTGAAGTAAACACCTCTCTACACCAACAAATGTTAGTAACTAACATGTACTGACTGCTTATTTTATATGCAGAAAAGTACTAAGCAATTTACCTGTAGTAACTTATTTATTTTATACTATAGCCTTGTGTAATAATTGCAATTATCCTTATTTCACAAAGAAAATGAGGCTTAGATGTTTAAATTACTCCCTAAATATCATAAAGTGGGTATTGGACCCAAAATTCCTTGCAAAGCTATCAGAGATCAACCATAAAAACCCTTATGGAGACCATTTCTTAGGTCAATGTCTTGGAACAAGTTACTTGTCAGACCGATGGATATCGAAGTGTAAAAAAACAAACAAACCTTATTTTCTCCTCCTAACATGTTAGGTCCTAAGCTCCTTATAGAGCAACTAAGGTTAGAAAAATAAACACTTACAGCAAAACAGAGAATGACTAAAGTGCAGAGTGGAAAAAAAAGGGGAACAGAAGTAGAATTACATTCAGTTCATGAGTATATATCAGCCATGAGGTGAAGTATCTAGAGTGCCTAGAACCTCTCAATTACTCAGGTGTATATACAGGAGTTAGACCAGGGTAACAGGGCTCAGGCAGGACAGATGGACCACATCTCACAGCAAAGTAACTTATATGAACATTCATCACTTAGGATTTAGGGTTTTTCAAATGAATCAAATATATGCCAGCGTTGTACCTTCTAACAAATTATTTTAAATAACATTATTTTAAATTTAATAAATTACTGAATTAAACAAATGATTTTAAACAAAGCAACAATTACTTGAAATTAGTAGTACTTAGAGAATGGCAGTTTGGATTGGGGAAAAAGGAATAATCTCACTCTTATAGTAGTACAGGGCCTTTGAATACAGCCCTTTGAGTAGCCAGAGGTCAACCAAAACACTGAAAGGCTAAGCTGATGGGGAAGTAAGTACTCCAACTTTTGAGGGTGACAGATATGTTCATTATTTCAATTGGAGTGATATTTGACTTGGGTGTATACATATGCAAAACTCATTAAATTGTACACTTTAAATATGTGCAGTTACTTGTATTGCAAATATACCTCAAAAAAGCTGTAAAAAAAAAAGGGGGGGTGATGAGGCATAGGAGGGAGCCAACCAAACCCTGTCTGTGCTTTGAGTCTAAAAGTGTGCCATTGAAATCACCACATGAAAAAAAAAAAAAGAAATCACCACATGGTGCTGCCTTTGGCAGGCATGCAATAACATTAAGACACTAGGTTTTAAACACTAGTTTAAACACTAGGACACCTGAGGTTTTAACAAACCTCAGTCTCCTCCCAGTTCCTCCAGTCCAGTCTGTCTCTTCAACTTTAGGCATACTTACAAGAAATACCAGCAAACAGAAGGCTTTATAAAAACTGGAATCTTAAGGCCAGTTAAGGAATGTAACGAAACTAGTAGCAAATGAACCTCTATAGTCTATGTATAGCTATAACAATCAAACAATTATGAACCCAGAATAAGGATATTACAGCAACACAGACCAAGAACATTAGGGCTGCTGACCTCAACTGCAGCGAGCATCTGGAAATGGGTGAACTGCCAAAGTGATATCAAGAATTCCTATAGTCCTTTGTTATTTAATACGGTCTTATAAATTGTAAGTAACAACCAAAGAATCACAGGTTACAGAATATTAATTTTAGAATATTAAATCTAATATCTACAGATAATATTAATTTTAGACTCACAAGTCAATATACGACTCAATGCAACAAATATGTTTCTAATTTCTATTGACTATCAACCAGGTAAGTCATGGAGTGATTAAACAGAGTTGAACTAAAATTCATAAATTGATAGGAAAGTTTATTTAAATTAATAAAAGAATGTAAGAATATATTTATGTATGCAAAATTACCTCGGTTTGTTCAAACACAGTCAGTGGGTCACTTATTCCCCTGTAGTTAAAGGCAAAGTAGAAATAGATACATGCACCTGCATCATAAGTCTGCGTCACCCTAAAAAACAAACAGACAATCCCCAGAAGGCTTTAAGTTAAGTGAAATCAGATTTAACATCTAGAACTTTAAAGGCAAAATCATCTGATTTGCTTAAACCGTAATCTCATTCTCTACCCACCTTCTTAATTCCATGGAAGGAATGTAGATTGGCTGGCTGAAAGAAATACAGGAACTATTTGTACTGTTTTTAACAACTTTTTTGAGGTAAGTCTGGATTATTACCCAAAGAGTTTAAAGTTTTAAAAACAATGTAAATGTTTCTCTAATTGGCCTGAAACAACCAACCTCCTCAGAGGATTTTTTTTTTTTTTTAAATGAAATAGATAGCAAAGTTAAAGAAGCCCCAAACAGACTAGATGGGACATTATAAGTCTTCTAAACTTCGTTGAGTCAACAGAAATAGGCATGAGAACTTCAAACTCAGAAACAAGAGAAATGTTCAAATATCAAAAATGATCAGGCTCGGTAAAATAAATAAAGCATCTTCTCCAACTTCACACTAATAATTACTAAGGACTTTGGAAACAAATTTAATGATCATATTAAATGCAGCAATATGGCTTTAAAGTACTGTCTCTGAAGGTTTTACACTCTGGGCCCCATATGTGTGCATGTTGTATGTGTGTTTACAAAAGACATCAAGAACATTAGATTATTAAATCATATATATGATATATACTTGGGCTTTCCAAATGCAATTAGGTGAAGCATTTAAGAGAGCCTCAGGGGCATCTGGGTGGCTCAGTCAGTTAAGTGTCTGACTTTTGATATTGGCCGAGGTCATGATCTCACAGTTCATGAGATCAAGCCCCATGTAGGGCTCTGCACTGTCAGCACAGAGCCTGTTTGGGATTCTCTCTCCCCCTTTCTCTGTCCCTCCCCAGCTTGTGCACATGCTCTCTCTGTCAAAATAAATAAATAAACATTCGAGAAAAAATGGAGAAGAGTGCCAAAATAATCATAGTCAAATCTGTGAATGCAATTTACAGAGGTTCCTACGAAGAATTTAATTTAACAGAAGGAGAGAATACAGAGGAAATACTCTTTTTACTACAACAATACAAATAGAATCTAATTTAAAATTTTAATGGCCTTTTAGGCCAAATGTTAGGTGCCTCAGAACAGAAGAAATGAACTGTTTAACAATGCTACTGTCAATTTGCCAGCTGTGTTTTTCTTCTAGTGTTAATTCACACTCATAAAAAAGATCCCTTGAATGTTTACATTTTAAGTACCAGATTTACAAAGTTTAAGAAAAACTGGAGAACCATCCTAACTATGCGGGCACTATCATTTAGGAATAACCAAATATAAATAAATTGAAAGGATACCTGAATGAAACAAATTTATAGCAAGTAGTAAAATATATATCACTTATATTTGAATCAATATCAATAAACAGAAAATGCAGTCAATATTAAGAAAGCATTGCTACCTTCCAACAAATCCAGGATGTATACCAAAGAGTTCAGTTTTCAATAGATAAGCAGGCTTTTATTTATTTTTTTATTTTTTTAACGTTTTATTTATTTTTGAGATAGGGAGAGACAGAGCATGAACAGGGGAGGGTCAGAGAGAGGGAGACACAGAATCGGAAACAGGCTCCAGGCTCTGAGCTGTCAGCACACAGCCCGACGCGGGGCTCAAACTCACGGACTGCAAGATCATGACCTGAGCCGAAGTTGGCCGCTTAACTGACTGAGCCACCCAGGTGCCCCCCGATAAGCAGGCTTTTAAAAGTTACAACAAAGCTTCAGTGATCAGTATCTCAAGAAAAGATAAAGTAAAAATAATACAAAAACATTTTTGGGAAAACCTCAATTTGGGTGTACTTCAGAAAGTGACTCAAATCCAACACCTTTCAATAGATCAGTTTTATCATTTAAGACCCTTAACACCAACCTCTTCCAAAAATCATCTGGACAAGTGATAGCATGGCTACGAAAGTCATAGTATTATTCTTTAATTTCTAACAGGTTGTTGGAGTACTTTACTTATGTTAGACACACTAGCTAGGAATTCCTTCCCATAAAACTTCTTCGGAAAATTTGGGTTAGAATTTATCTTCCAATATACAAAATACATTTTAATAAATGAAAATGAAATAAATGAACTCAATAAATGCACCCTACAGCTAGTTATTTTCCTTGGGATCTTCAATTTCAATGAGAGTTAGAATTATTTCAAGTCAGTTTTGGAATAACTTTTTAAAAACTAGTTTACAAAATGGATTTCACATATTCAACATTTATACTCAACACACAATAACCTCCTTGGCCACACTATTAAGCAGCTCAAATCAAACTAAACTAAAATCAAACTCTGGTGAAATGCTAGTTTTTATCAAGTATGAGATGTAAGAACTATATTTAAAGCTCCCATTTATTAAAACCATTCAAATAACTAGACCGTGTACATTCAAAATTTTGGTTTTATAAAATGATCATAAAAGCTGAGTATATAAGTTTTTATCAGAAAATCATTCTTAAAAAATAGCTACTGAATAAAAGACATATCTCAAATTTACTCTAAGTCCATCTACCTATAATACATAATGAAGATCCTTATTTTAGACTTTATGAGCTCCTTCTGAAAAACCAAGACTTGTGTTGTTATAGAAGGTGTCCTGAGGCAGAATATTTTACTTCCCAATAATGTTCAATAAGTACTGGTTTATCACAATGATATTCTGATAATGGAAGGGGGGGGAGTCTGGAGAGATAAACAGGGAGATAGGGCAGAAAGAGAAAGTGGGGATAAAATCTGTTAAATTGCTATTTAATAAAAAATAAAAAAATCCTCAGCTACACAAAAATAGATTCTACTATTTAAAACGTTTCAAATTTTACTTGTAACAAATGACTTGGATTATTAGGCCTGATCTGTTTTCTGAACTATAGTAAAGAGGCCTGACAGACTAGACTGTCAAAAGAAGAATTAAGTATCAATTTGGGTTCATAATAAACAAACACAAAATTTTTTCTTAGACTTTAAAATAAAAGGTTTATTTTTAAATATATCTCCAAATTAAAAAAGAAAGGAACAAAAAAACAAAGAACATGTACATTCTTACACCTTTATTTGGAAAGGTTCTCTCCAAGATTAGTCCTAAGCCACTAGTAGGTTTACCAAGTTATAAGCTTTTCGTTGTACAGAACAAGACCCCTATTTTCTTTTCTTTTTTTTTTCTTTTTAACTGGCTTTATTTTTTATTTTTTTAATTTACATCCAAATTAGCATATAGTGCAACAATGATTTCAAGAGTAGATTCCTTAGTGCCCCTTACCCATTTAGCCCATCCCCCCTCCCACAACCCCTCCAGTAACCCTCAGTTTGTTCTCCGTATTTATGAGTCTCTTATGTTTTTGTCCCACTCCCTGTTTTTATGTTATTTTTGTTTCCCTTCCTTATATTCATCTGTTTTGTCTCTTAAAGTCCTCATATGAGTGAAGTCATATGATTTTTGTCTTTCTCTGACTAATTTCACTTAGCATAAAAAAAGACCCCTATTTTCTCATCCTTCAGATATATCAAATGACCAGTCAATAATCTCTAAGTCCACATTTTTAGCTTACATATTCTCAGATTCAACCTCAAATATACTTCTTTAAACCCTGACTGTCTCTCCCACACAGAAGCAAAAAACACAATTTCAAAGAGATCCTTCTGGTTGACATGAACAGTTAATGTATACGAAAGATGATTTCCTCACATTTGTTAGAGTTTTGCTCTCTTACTCCAATGGAAGCACAAAAATTTAGCAAATTCTAAAAGGTATCTGTCCCAATGGGGGCAATAAGTAGAACTAAGAAACACAATATGGTACCAGGGAAGTACAAGATGAGGGTGTAAAAGATAGAAGAAAAAAAAAAAATCAGAAGAGACAGTAGTTTGAAGAATATAGAAACATTTCTGGTCTTGCAAAGCAAATACATGCAAATTATCATGCTATATGAAAATATCAAAGACTTAAGAATTGGATACCTTCATGAGGATTTGTCATTGGAGAAGAAAAATATTGAGATTTCCTTTACTAGCTCTAGTATAGGTTGTCTACCTCAAGTTTAATGTAATGACCTCACAATAATAAAATGACATTCATACAGCCCTTCATATGCTTTCTCAATTCATTCTCACAAGAGTCTCATCAAGTAGATGGTATTACCACTGCTTTACTAATAATCAACTTAGAGCGCAAAGGGATTAAATTCTTAATAAACAGCAAAACAGTGCTTTCACTTTTCAGACACATATAGTATTACAAAACAAAGAAATTCAAAAACTAAGCAGGCAGTTGCCACTGTAATACAGTAGGCCAGCAAGGCCTGGTTCTTGGGCTGAAAGAGGCCCAAGTCTGCCCTCTTAGGCTGAGATTAAGTGATCCCAGGCAAATCAGAACAAGCATCATGAACAGAAATACGTAGAAATGCCATTTTGGTGAGGCATATCTGCTGTTTCAGAGTCAGCATCTGGTGCACTTAACAATAAAGATATTATATTATTTCCCAAATTACTTAATTTGCATTTGTGCTTATACTGAAAATTTTTTGTTTCTACAAATTAATTGAGTTATATTCTTGAAACCCCCTTCCCTGACACATGGGAAAAAAAAAAAAAGCAGTTATACAACACAGAATGTTTAATAAATTTTAAAGTGCTAGATTATGACTGAACCATCTACTTTAAAGATCCCCTTCACATAATCTGTCCTGATTTCCCTTTATTCTCCATTCCAATTAATTCTATAACTTTATAGATAAGTCATATGTTTGATTTAATCTTGATACATTTAATCTTCTTGTGTTTATACAGGTCTTTTAATTATCAGGTGATTGAATACAAAGTGCTCCTTCGCAAGAAAACCTCCTTTTGGACTGCTGCCATTTAACAAAGAGGACAAGATTTGCAGTTTAACTGTCCACTATGGAAGATACCAGCTACATGCAGTGTTTTAAATTTAAATTATTAGAAATTAAATAAAATTTACAATTCAGTGCCACGGTCACACTAGCCACATTTCGACAGCCCCACAGCCACATGTGGCTTGTGGCACCAATACCAGACAGGACAAATAAAGAGTATTTCCATTACTGCAGAAAGATCTATTGAAAGCAAAGAGTTAATCTTCATTTGCATATTTTGCTCTACTCATTCCTTTACTCCATGCCCATTCATTGAATCAGTAACTAATAAAGTGGTTAAAGTGCTTTTTGTCTATTGAAGAAAAGGCTACGTTGATTATGTATTAAATTATAGTTTCCTGAATATATACATGATTTATAATTTCAGTGAATTAAAAGGCACTCCTTTACTTATTCCTGGGGCTCCAAGGTTTGGCTTTTCACTGTCCTGCTGTCCTGAAGGGGTAGAAGGCTCACTTATGGAAGGGTATTCTACTCCTAAAGGGCTCAGGACTGCTCTAAAACCCTAGTGGCACAACCCTAAGAAGGTGGCAAAAGTGAAGTTTAGGAAAGGAAAGCTTGCTAAATGGAACAGACTGAAGCTATTCTTCTGGTGGCGTGAATTACATTTCTCCATTAATTAAAATATGTTTTCCCCCCAGAATAAGCAGTAAAAGAGTAACAACAACAAAAAACTTCACCTGCATGTAGAAAGAGGAGCAAACTGAACACCCTTCTCTTTGCATTCCCTTGTTATTCGCTCTTTTACATTTCTACAGAGATCCACAACCCTAGAAAACAAAATTGAATACAACATTAAGTTTTCAAATAAATTACAAAATTCTAACAAATGTTAGTTTATCTGGCATCTTTCAAGTCAGAAATTCTAAGAAACTTTCATACTTATTCCGTCAAGAATGAACAAGAGCGTTGATCATTCAAATTGAGTCTTCCATTCATAGCTTCAAAGGGGCAAAGTTCTCCCTTTTTTTGCCATAGAAAAGACAGAAGTCAGAAGAGCACACTCAAGCTTCCTGAAGGCAGTTTCCTACACTTAGGTAAACCCAATTTCACAATTAATTTAATCACAAGATTTTAAAAGCTTTTTTAAAAAGCTATAATGAACATGTTAATGAAAATTCAATTTTGGGTTTACAGGAATACCAATCTGTGTCCATGTCTAAGATATTTCCCTTAATATAAAAATAATTTAGTCAATAATCGTGAGGTTATACCAAATGTTCAATAGCCTTTTGTCAAGCTCTGAGCTAAAATCTACTTTAACAAAGACTTACTGGATGTTAACTGGATGTCAGCAATGTAAAAAGCTGTGCTAGACTGGTATTAAGAGTCAGTGAAAACAGATAAGTAAGAAATAGTTCATAAAGGGAATGGGGGGATTGATAATATTTAATAATATTAATCCTTTTTCTATCTTTTTTTTTTTTTTTCAACGTTTATTTATTTTTGGGACAGAGAGAGACAGAGCATGAATGGGGGAGGGGCAGAGAGAGAGGGAGACACAGAATCGGAAACAGGCTCCAGGCTCTGAGCCATCAGCCCAGAGCCTGACGCGGGGCTCGAACTCACGGACCGCGAGACCGTGACCTGGCTGAAGTCGGACGCTTAACCGACTGCGCCACCCAGGCGCCCCCTTTTTCTATCTTTTAAATAAATTTTTATTTGAAATAATTTTATTATTTTTTAAATTTTTTAACGTTTATTTATTTTTTTGAGAAAGAGCATGAGTGGGGGAGGGGCAAAGACAGAGGAAGACACAGAATCTGAACCAGGCTCCAGGTTCTGAGCTGTCAGCACAGAGCCTGACGCAGGGCTCCAACTCACAGACTGCAAGATCATGACCTGAGCCAAAGTCAGACGCTCAACCGACTGAGCCACCCAGGCTCCCCTTGAAATAATTTTAGATACAGAAAGTCACAAAGACAGACAGTGTTCCTCTTTCCCTGGTTTCCTCTAATGTTAATATATAACCATGACAGATTTGTCAAAACTAAGAAACTGACTTCAGGACATCACTATTAACTAGAACACTTTATTTATATTTCACCATTTAATTTTGACTCCAAGATACCACTGTTTTAAAATATAAAGGCATCTGATTTCTTTTGTTGTTTAGTTTTTGATATAATTTTTAAGGCCCTATTTTGGAGTGCAAGAGAGCTAATAGTGATGCATTCATACTTTGGGAACATGCTCAGGAAAAAGTTCTAAAATGGAAAACAGATGTCAATCACAGCTTCTAGGTTGGAGATGCAGAGACAAAAGATTTGGCTGACAAAAGATTAATCTATTTTTTAATGTGAGCTGTAATATTTTGTTATTACTATATATTGTTTCATTTGGAAAATAAAACTCCTAAGGTACATATAAGCCATCTAATTCTTCAATAAACATCCTGACAACATACTGACGCTGATTCTGTGTTTCAAATCTTAGTCTGTTTAGAATCAGGAGAATGGAAAAGGTAACAAAGAAGCACAAAAGACTGGGCCATCTCTAGTCTAAAGACTGATTTGACTGTGTGAGAGCCAATTTGATAAAAACCATAACATTTACATGGATTATGCTTTATAAGACACATTAAAGTTATCCATATTTCCAATAAGAACAAAGAATATATGGTTAAAATATAAATATGGAAAGGGGTTTAATGGTTTGTTAGCTATTTTATTAGCATGTCAAATTTTATTTTTTTAATATATGTGTCTGAAAGTTTTATAAATTCTAATTTTACAAAACAATTCTCTTCAGTTAAATTGTGCTTAATTCTATGAGAGTGTAGACAAATACAATTTATCAGTGTTATTTATGCCTCACCTATGGAATGGTAAGGATGCATGCTTTTAAAATATCTCCTACTAAAGTATTTAGATTATTGGAATTTATTGTGTCTTTATTTTGAAAATCCAACTTGTAAAACAAATACTTCAAACATAAATAAAACCTACTAAGTAAGCTTTAATAGCTACAGGGATTAATGAATATTATAAATTTATAAATAAGTTCTTTATCATGACTCTAGAAAGTGGAATTTAAGTGCTACATAATAATATATGATAATTTACAATAATAATGAGGAGGAGATGGAACAAATAACATGACCAAATGGTTAAAACCCTTAATAGGATACTTTCTAGAAATGATTTGTACAGAGGATGTTCTTTTTCTCTTAATTTTTTTTTTACTTCAGAGAGAGAGAGAGAGAGAGAGAGAGAGAGAGAGAGACTGGGGGAGAGGGGCAGAAGGAGAGAGAATCTTAAGTAGTCTCTATGCTCAGCACAGAGCCCAATGCAGGGCTCTGGTCATGGTCATGGGATCATGACTTGAGCCGAAATCAAGAGCTGAATGCTTAACTGACTTCAGACACCCAGGTGCCCCCAGAGGGGAGTTCTTGAAGTATTCTGGCATAGAACTTGTACAAAAGCCAACACAGTCCACTTGGACCATTCTATGTAAGATAAACATAACTGTGTATACATTTAACTTTTCACCTGACCTATTGGCAAATTTAACCCTGTTGACAATTCCCTACTTGAAAAAAATTTTCCTGGGCTTCTTTCACATCACTGGTTTTCCTCCAAATCCTCGAGATATTATTCTCTTTTGCTAGCTCTTGTTTGTATATCCAAACAAAATAAATTTTGGGGTTCCCTGGACTTCCTTCTTAGGTCCTCTTTTTTTTCTTCATCCATACTAGCTATAAGGGTTTGTATCTACTCCCTTGGTTTTAATCACAAGCCTCATGCTAATGTCTCCAAAATCTTTAAATCTCCAACTCAGACTGTTTAGACAGCTAATTTTATAGGCTACATTCTTACATTATTCCCAAGTTCATTCATAGGAGTCTATTCAGAATATTCATTGTGCACTCAACAGATACAGTTATTTTGGTAGGACTACTGAGAAATACACAAAAACTAGTAAGGCAAATAACCCCTTAAGAGATTTATACATGAAAAGGCTAAGCAACCTAATAACGTGTGAGACTTGAAGACTCTGACTCCATGGGTTTCTGCTAAACATGGTCTCTACCTAGGTAAATGTTAGAGAGAAAAAACAATTTGTTAAATGGGTAACAAGTAAAGTTTCTATCAGGAATGTAGCTGCTTTCCATTCATTTTATTTATGAAAAATTTAGCTGATGAAGTTGTTTTAATTGAAAAGAAACCAAATATATAACCTGTATAAAACAGTCAGATGTCAGTAAGTTGATAATTTTTTTTCTTTACAAGATTTATCCCCTTGTTAAAATTTAGTTATCAAAAACTGTGAATAACAGATTGATACTATAAACTGTTGTTTTACAATGCATGGAATATGAACATCAATGCACCAAAAGTCATAACCCATAGTAGACAAAGAATGAATGCAGAAAGTAAAAAGTCCTCTGGGGAAGGGAAAAAAAGAGTTAGGGTAGAACAAAAATGTTAAGATATGTAATATCTAAAAGGTAGATTCATGGGAATTTGTCATGTACTTTATTACTGATTTAATTTGTAATTTTTTTTTTTTTAATTTTTTTTTTCAATGTTTATTTATTTTTGGGACAGAGAGAGACAGAGCATGAACGGGGGAGGGGCAGAGAGAGAGGGAGACACAGAATCGGAAACAGGCTCCAGGCTCCGAGCCATCAGCCCAGAGCCTGACGTGGGGCTCGAACTCCCGGACCGCGAGATCATGACCTGGCTGAAGTCGGACGCTTAACCAACTGCGCCACTCAGGCGCCCCTAATTTGTAAATTTTATAAAGAAAACATAAAATGTAAAGCATACCAGAATAAAAATGTACTAACAATCTTAACAGCTTTTATTACTGAGTTAACTTATGAGTCCATTTAAAAAAAAAAAATTTTTTTTTTAACGTTTATTTATTTTTGAGACAGAGAGAGACAGAGCACGAATGCGGGAGGGTCAGAGAGAGGGAAACACAGAATCTGAAACAGGCTCCAGTCTCTGAGCTGTCAGCACAGAGCCCAACGCGGGGCTCAAACTCAGGGACTGCAAGATCACGCCCTGAGCTAAAGTCGGATGCGTTACCGACTGAGCCACCCAGGCGTCCCTTATGAGTCCATTTTTAATAAAACCACTTCACATTTCCTCATCGGTTTTTATTATTAATTCCCTAACCAATATTTGTATACCAACATTTGTGTATATGTGTATGTGCATAACATAAAAATAGAAATTATACATAATATCTTAAGTTGGATTTCTTTTAGAAATCACTTAAATGCAAGTTAAGATCTTGCTTAATAGTAACCATCCAAAATCAAAAGCTAAATCATATATTACAAAAGAAGTTTAACACTGGGTTTATATTTGGGGGATGTTCTAGAGAACCTTCAAGCATATTAAGCATTTAAGAATTTAAATCAAAGCTAGTAAAACTATAGACTGACACTTAAGTGCTCACTAAGATTCTTTAAAATATAGACTTCAATAACACCTTCCTTCTATGGGACATGGACAAATCTGTCTAAATAAAAAAAAAAAAGCTGGCAAATATGACATTCTGATGAAGGTGTTAATATAAATAAAAGTGATCACCTTGTTTCAATGTTTCTTTATAAAAATTTTAAAATTTGTATATTTGTGCACAAAGATATATTATTTCAATAACTCCTATAGCATAATATGAGACATTTTATTATATTTTACCTGTCCCAAGGAGCAGAAGTCTCAAAAGACTCTCCTAATATATAGTATTCCAAACCCAAGTCCTATTAAAAAAAAGACACAAAAATCAAGAAATTACAACAGATGCAGAAGAATCAAGAATACTGTCATATTGTTAGTATTTCACGTAATTGTTAATATCACATGTTTCTAATTTAACCTCCACTGTTCTTTACTCTCCACCCCATAAAAGCAATGGTAAGTGGCCTTGAGTGTGAGCTACAACCTCCAGGAGGACAGGAACTTTGTCTTGTTCTCTTTTGTATCTCTGGCACCAGGCAGTGTGCCTGATACATGGCAGGAACTCAAATATTTCTCCAAGGAATGGAGCCTCTGAGAACTGTCTATGTACATGTAGAGGATACTAGCAGAACAGATTTTTTTTGGAGCCTAAATAGTAAATTAAACAACACTAAAAAGTGGTCATCAGGATGGAAGGACCAGGGCAGCAGGAAAGTAGGAGCAGTGGGGACTAAAGGAAGAAGGTAGATCTCCCTTTCCTGAAATCAACTTTTCTTTAAAAAACAAATTAGAAAATATAGTGCCTCTCTTTGTAGTAACTAAATAAGATAGGATATCTGGAAGCACTTCTGCTAGGAAAATATATTTTATACCACATAAGATATAATGCTTATATGATAAGTAACTTATAATACCCAGAATACAATTCTGTTTTAATATCAAAACTGGAAAGAGCAATTCATAAGCCACCCGAGATGCAAAGATAGAAAGAATATTTTATAAGCAGAAAAATCAATAAATGTTAAGTTTTCACTTCTAGTAAGATGATTCACTTCAACTCTACCACTGGTTGGCAGGAAAAATCCCCAAATTACTGATCTAAAATGTGTCGCTTTTTTCTTGTGCATTCATTTACGCAGTAAACACATATGTGGTGACAAAGGTATTAAGCACTGGGAAAATAAAAAATAAAACAATCCCTCCCATCTCAATACTGCTTCTGATTCAGTTTTAACAGTGTGTAAGCTGTATTTGTTACAGTAACACATCATTTTCTAGAATTCTGAATTTAGTAATATGGGAAAATGGTCAATATACTTAGAAAATGCTCAACAAACAAAAACTTGTGGATAACCAAAATGCTTACTATGGGAGACCCTGAGGTAGTAACAGTCTATGGAGGTAAACATTATTGTAAGACCTAAAATCATCTATTACTTTTCATGATCTGTAAATCTCTTAATTACAATTTTTAACATAGCAAACAAGCAATAAATGTAATTTCCCTTATCAGCGTGGGGGAATGGAGTGCCCAGAAAAATGCATATGCTTCAAATTCACTGCAACCTAAAATTTAGATCTTACCTAAGATTAGTTTTGAAATAAGAATACAATTCAAGCTTTCTAGAGAAGTAAAAACAAGTTTTATATAAGTTTATGTAAGTATTTCCTTCAGAACAATTTCCAAGTGAAAAATTAGAAAATGCAGTATTTGAGAAAGTCAAATTCTCAATAGGATATCTGAGAAATGATGTTTTAAAATAAGACCTTTCAAATTACATAAACAAGCAATATTTAAAAAATATAACCCTAACAATAGCAGAAAACAACTAAGAAACTTGAGTTTATTACAGCCAAGGTAGAAAAACAAAATAAGTAAATAAACTTTTGAAAGAATACTTTCATATCAACAAGTATAGTAGACTCTTGGACTAATAAAGTTTCTCACAAGTAGAAAATGTGGAATTAGAAAAATTTTAGAGCCCAAATACAGACAAATTATTTCTTTAATTCTACATAGTAATCATCACCAGTGAACCAACTACTACTTAGAATCAAGTTAAATACCAATTTTTAATGAGTTAAAGAAAGATTATACATATTTAAAACTTGATTATGAATCAAGTGAGAAATGGTGCTAAATAAGACAGCTCGATTCTAACCAAGCAATGTTAGGAATGGCATGTTCAACTTCCAGACAGAGAAAGTCACCATTCTTTTAAAGAGGAGAATGATCTATATAATCTTCAAATTCCTCAAAAGCAATATATGGAAGATTTAATTGGGATTCTGAAGGTTTGTAGCTAGTCCTACATTCATGTCAAATGATGTGCTACATCATACTAGGTTAAAACTTAAGAAAATAATTTTATTCATTCAAAGTAAGAAAAAGGATTATTTGCAATATAAACTGACAAGGAAATATGAGATAACTTACTCGAATATACGCAATGACATAGGTCAGCAAATAACCTCTCTGTCCATTATCTTCTCCAATTGCCAACCCACTGTAATTAAAGAACAAACTGTTAATATATTTCATATGTATTTATGAAAAATATACAAAAATAACCAAACTAATATAACACCTCAAGGTAACTGTTTAACAGATTAACATATATTATACTGCATCTCATTCTTATTGTAATCTAATTTATCAGATATATATCAAAGAGTTGTCAAAAGAATAAGCTTGGAGAACAAAAACCTAAAGATACTTTTAATATTTCAGTTTGGTCATTAATTTCAAACTTGCATCCATCAAACTAATAAAACTGACTCATGAACTCAACTACTTCTACCAACATTGACAAAAGTACAGAGAACTAGCCATGAGAAACAAGCTTAAGTAAACTTTAATAATCTTTACAAGCATACCAAGATACTTAAAATACTTATTTTATTCATATATTTTATCCATATATTCATGTGTTACTATAGCCCTATTCATATTTAAAGATGTATAATGATTGACTATATCTTCCAAATACCAAGAAGTTTTCTGAATACCTGGGTACATAGTATATGAAGTATTAGACACACTGTTTATTTTATGAAAATATGAAAAGTATGACAAAACATACTTACACAGAAATATTAAAGTTTATGAAGCAGCATACAGATAAGTACCAGACAAAGAGGTAAGGTTTTATTACTATGAACACATCAACTATCCATTTCAATTTGAAAGTAGTTTTATCCACAGAAATTATATTTGGTGATCTAATTAGAACTAATCCCATATAACATATAATTCAGTCCAAGCACTTTGCTTTGTGAAAGTCATTCTTATGTTAAAAGACTAAAAATGATTATTGATTTTACTACCTTCAGTAAAGAGCTTTTAATTTTGCTTGTTTTCATCATCAGGCAGAAATTAAATTTTAACTATTCTTAGTCAACTAAAGAAAACTTACCACAAACTCCCAAAGTATCTACCAAAAAAAAATCCCTCAATAAAACCAGATAGAAAACTGTGACTTTCTTGGGTCATAATGGATGGTTAACTTCCATGCCTCTCCCCTCAGTACCCTAATTGCTCCTCCTTCACCTCAGTATGCTGAACCCTTAACCATGGTGTTGCTCAAGACTCGGGTCTTGAGCCTCTGTTAGTTACACCTCTTCCGGAAAAATCATTTTTCTTATTACTTCAGTTAACACCTATGGTGAAGTTCTTCCTTCCCCTGAAGTTTTGCTTGGATTTGGCAGTAAGTAAACATAGTAAGTGAACAACATAGATGTGCCCTTGTGCTATACAAATAATGTAAGGCAACTGTAGGCTAGGATGTATAGGCCAAATCAGATATCCTTATAGCTGCATACACACGAATCAGTATCACCCAGAGAAGTGGCAAACACTTGATGGAAGCGGCTCTAGTCTAGAACCACTTGGAGATGGGGTGCAAAGAGATGAAACAAGAGGGGTTGTTCGTATTACTAGAATGTTAATGAGCAAAGAAGACAGAACCTAGTCAAGCAGTTGCGAGTGAAAAGTAAGAAGCAACAATATAATTCTGGGTTGGATACAAATGGATTTGAGGTGAGAGGTAGGAAGTCAAAGTTCCAAAACAAAAAGGCAACTAGTCAGAAAATTGCTGTGGCAAGAACCGGGAGGAAAATATCTGAGCCTATACCTCACATAGATATGAAGCAGTCAGATACTGAGTCCAAGAAAGAAAAAGCACTACTGAGCTGGGAAATAGGAACAATTCATTCTGGGCCTAGTGGTAGAAAGAGAGTGAAGACCAGCAAATGGTGCAAGAGACCTGCGCTGGGAAATCCTTGAGAAGGTGCATTCTAAGCGGATATTTGGTGAGAAATAACAGATATGAACCTTTAGTAGGCTTCTTTTATATCAGATGAGAAAAAGTCCTTCTTGCAGTTCCAGGTCAAGCCATTTTTCTTTAGATACTCTTCTAGAATCTCTTGGAGCAGGGAGGGGTGGAGCAAAGGGGTCAGGAGGATCAGTTCCACTTTGGAATTCAGCGTGACAAACCACACAGAAACATGCATTTTCTTATCCCAAACAGGAAGAAATTGATGTCCATTCTAAATTCATAAACCCCAGGGGCGCCTGGGTGGCTCAGTCAGTTGAGCGACCGACTTCGGCTCAGGTCATGATCTCACGGTTTGTGAGTTCGAGCCCCACGTCAGGCTCTGTGCTGACAGCTCAGAGCCTGGAGCCTACTTCGGATTCTGTGTCTCGCTCTCTCTCTGCCCCTCCCCCACTCATGCTCTGTCTCTCTCGGTCTCAGAAATAAATAAACATTAAAATAATAATAATAATAATAATAATAATAATAATAAATAAATAAACAAACCCCAAAGGAGAAGGAAAGTCATTCTGGGCTTGCTTTTGTGAATCATAGGTTTCCCTGCAAATTTAGCTTTTTGTAACTTCTTTCTCACTTATTCTCTGTCTTACATTTTTAACTTTCAGAACTCCATCTTCTAGACAGGATTGCCTTAAAATACAACATGTAAACAATAGTAGGGCATTGAAATTAAATGCTTCTAAGTTGCCAATTACATAGCAGCCACTCCAAAAAGGTATACGAAGATTCAAACTGCTTTATGTTAAAGTAGCAACATCGATTCCCTACGTTCTGCTCCCCGTCGCAAATTTCAAACATCAATTAACAAGATTCTTAAATTTAAACCTGTTTCATGAGAAAGGGCTGGGAAGACTAATGAAAGAGGAAGGAGAGACAATCTTTTTATATAAAAGAGCCATCTGGTGAACCTAATCACTCTCATGTTGAATTACATTAAACAACTTAAGCACACACTTTAAAAATAACAATAACACATTACCTTAAGTTCTATGGTAAATGTCAGTACATCTGTCATGACTGCTGACAGGGAATGTTTATTCTGTTTAGCTCTTAGAGAAGTTAAAGTATATTACTAGCAAGCATAGATAAACAACCGAAGTATGATTACTCAACATTTGCCTATTATTTTCCACTGGATCATATGTATTCAAAGGTATTTAACAGTGTTAGGGTAGGGGTGGAAGACAAGGAGGAAAATGGCTGAAATGACACATAAAAATGTCTAAACTGTTGGGAGTAGTTTATTTAAAAACAATCAATTCAGAGTTAATGAGGGGGTAGAACAGAGGATAAAACTAAAGAACAGAAAATAAAGGATAGATTAATAATGCCCTAATTCAAAATAAAATACATGAGCTAAACTAACTTATGAAACTTTAGCAGAAAGGAATTCAGTGGTACTTTCCTCCTTCTAGTTATGTAGAAGAAATCATTGGGGAGCAAGGGTTGGCCCAGTGGCATCGTAAGTAAGAAAAATATGTCTGACGGACTTCCAAGCCGTATTACAAAACTGTAATAATCAAGACCATATGGTACTGGCACAAAAACTGACACTCAGATTAATGGAACAGAATAGAGAACCCAGAAATGGACACACAAACGTATGGCCAACTAATCTCTGACAAAGCAGGAAAGAATATCCAATGGAATAAACACAGTCTCTTCAGCAAGTGGTGCTGGGAAAACTGGACAGTGACATGCAGAAAAATGAACCTGGACCACTTTCTTACACCATACACAAAAATAAACTCAAAATGGATTAAAGACCTAAATGTCAGACAGGAAGCCACCAAAATCCTCAAGGAGATCCTCTTTGACCTTGGCCACAGCAACTTCTTACTCAGCATGTCTCCAGAGGCAGGGGAAACAAAAGCAAAAATGAACTACTGGGACCTCATCAAAATAAAAAGTTTCTGCACGGTGAAGGAAGCAATCAGCAAAACTAAAAGGCAACCAACGGAATGGGAGAAGATATCTGCAAATGACATATCAGATAAAGGGTTAGTATCCAAAATGTATAAAGAACTTATCCAACTCAACACCCAAAAACAAAACATCTAGTGCAGAAATGGGCAAAAGACATGAATAGACACTTCTCCCAAGAAGACATCCAGATGGCCAACTGACACATGAAAAAATGCTCAATTTCACTCATCATCAGGGAAATACAAATCAAAACCACAATGAGACATCACCTCACACCTGTCAGAATGGCTAACCTTAACGACTCGGGCAACAACAGATATTGGCGAGGATGTGGAGAAAGAGGATCTCTCTTGCACTGCTGGTGGGAATGCAAACTGGTGTGGCCACTCTGGAAAACTGTATGGAGGCTCCTCAAAAAATTAAAAATAGAACTATCCTATGGCCCAGCAATTGCACAACTAGGTATTTATCCAAAGGATACAAGGATGCTGTTTTGAAGGGGCACATGCACCCCAATGTCTAGAGCAGCACTATCAACAATAGCCAAAATATGGAAAGAGCCCAAATGTCCATCGATGGATGAATGAATAAAGAAGATGTGGTATAGCTATACAATGGAGTTTTACTCGGCAATCAAAAAGAATGAAATCCTGCCATTTGCAACTATGTGGATGGAACTAGAGAGTATTATGCTAAGTGAAATTAGTCACAAAAAGACAAATATTGTATGACTACACTCATATGAGAACTTTAAGATACAAAACAGATGAACACAAGGGAAGGGAAGCAAGAATAATATAAAAACAGGGAGGGGGACAAAAACATAAGAGACTCTTAAATATGGAGAACAGAGGGTTACTGGAGGGGTTGTGGGAGGGGGATGGGCTAAATAGGTAAGGGGCATTAAAGGAATCTACTCCTGAAATCATTGTTGCACTATACGCTAACTAACTTGGATGCAAATTTTAAAAATAAATTAAATAGGGGTGTCTGGGTGGCTCAGCGGGTTGAGTGTCCAACTTCAGTTCAGGTCATGGACTCGCGGTTCATGAGTTCGAGCCCCACGTTGGGCTCTGTGCTGACAGCTCAGAGCCTGGGGCCTGCTTCGGATTCTGTGTCTCCCTGTCTCTCTGTTCTTCCCATGCTCGTGCTCTCTCTCTCTCTCAAAAATAAAGATTAAAAAAAAAAGTTAAAAAAAAAAGAAAAGAAAAATATTTCTGAATATTTCAGTGATTAGAACCAAGAACTAGTGTGTACAGAGAAACATGAGGAAAACCAAGAGTGCTAGAAAACTACATGGAGATATTTCCAAGTATCAAATCAAAATCAAAATAGCCCTAAGCCATCTAATTACAGCCTGGATTATCAGTACAGAAGATTTCTGCAATCTAAATGAAGGAAGACAGGATGAAAGCATATTAAGAAATTATAATTATAACATAACTAGTAAGTAGCAAATAACAACAGCAAAAAAAATGAGACCTCAATCAGAGTCTGAGTTTTAATGCTTTGCCCCTGCTTTAAATAGGTATCTCATTTACTATAACCTATTTTTAATGGATGAATTTGATATAAGTTTTGTTTGGTATAAACAAATTGCTGGAATTAAATCAAGAGTTCTGGGGCTTCACTATCCGTATCCAGAAAGACCTGGATTCACCTTAAAGAAGTTCATTCTTACTTTTAAGTTGTAAATGTCTGGAATCACTTGAGAAAAACAAGACTTACATTACATGACAAGGGAGTTCATGACAGTTGGTGGCTCAACTTAAAACTGACAAAATGGCTCTAATAAATACCTAAAGATTAAAATATGCTCTTTTAAGGGTGGCACAGCAGTTAGACATAAATGAAATAGAATTTAAAATGTCAGGGAATGACATTCAGTTTCATTAATTCTTTCAACAAATGTTCAATTAAGTGTCTAGTATATACCAGGCATCAACAGTGATGTCCAAGAAGAGACAGTTGAAGAATTACGTCTTACCTCACACAAAAAGGCATTTTGTCATCATCCTACCCCAGTCCAAGAGGAAACGTAGCACATTACTAACTAGTAATGATTTTGTTGGCTACTCTGAATTTTAATTACAATTAGAGGTACTACAAAGTGGAATTTCTCTGCATCTCTATGCATGTGTTGGTGTGTATGCTGGAGGCAGGAAGGGTCACTGGGGGGACTGAGGTGAAACTAAGCAAATTTAACCTCATATAAAGTAATTCAAATATTATAGCATCCATTTCCCTACAAGTGCTCCTGAATAATTTTGACGTCCCAATTAAATATTTCAATATATAAAAAACAATTTTTAAAAGTTTCAGCCTCTAATATTTAAGGCTATAACAGAAACTAAAAGATTTAATTTATATATAAAAGATTTTAATTTAAATCCCCTTAATTATTTCTAATACCATGGATTTTAAGAAAAATGTTTTAAAAATCAAATTATATATATACTTCACATAACTTAGAAACTAAAAAATAGGTACATGTATATTTCAAAAATAAATTCAGAGATTAACCTGAAATCTAAGTCTTCTGGCTATTAAATGAATTTTTATGGCACAATTACTCTTAATTAATTTAGTTAAAAAAATCAGTTAATTCCCAAAAAAGGTACTCTGAGAGAGGAAAAGTAAAAGATTAGTGAATTTCATCTTTTACTAATTCGACTTGCCAATTTCAGAATAAGGTAAGAATAAAACTGAGAGGCTGATTTGCAATACTCAAACACAGTACCAAAGTAAATCAAAACTTAAGCCAAAGATTAGATCTTTTTCTAAGAATTCTGTACTTTAAACACAAAGTTCAGAAAATCCTAAAAATAAAGAGCTGAATATCATAGTGAGAAAAATATATAAAAGTGAGGCATTCTAAAACACAAGGCTACAAATTAAGTGCTCATTTGTTCTCATAAATAGCAAAAAAGGGAAACTAAAGTAAATATTTACAAAGAACTCAGATTAAGCATACATACATATTTTAAACTCTGAAATTATAATAAAAGAAAAAGAAGAAGAAGAAGAAGAAGAAGAAGAAGAAGAAGAAGAAGACGACGACGACGACTTGTATCCAGGAAACTTAGTTTACGTATTTAAAAAGGGAAGGGAAAAATGTAGTCCTGATAAATGGCATTTTCACTACAGTTCTCATCGATCAATCTCATAATCCATCAAGCAGACAGACAGAAACCACCCAGTCATTATTCAGTTGGTTATATATGTGAAATGTTTTCTGTTTCTTTATACCAGAAGAAAACAGTAAGTGACAAGGGGTGGAGTATAGATAATTTATCAAATTCTTTTGTTTAAAAAATTTCCTTTCACAAACATACTAATAACATGTTTTATATATATATACTATTACCGTTAAATAGTAAGATGACTATGAATTTTTTCATATTTTACTCTAGCATAACAAAAGCAAATATTATAAAATTAATGGAAAAATGTAATAAAATATTTAATATATCCTAATATATATGCTTACACAAGTAAGAGCAACATACCAATCAAATTTTCTGCAAATTTTGGAAGTAACCAACACAACATTTTAAGTTGACTATCATATATTGCTACAAATTTAATCCTTTAGGGGTGCATTAACAACTGCTTACAGATACCAGAATTTTCGATTAACATTCTCTTGGCATTATGAACTTAGAGCCATACCCAAATTTTGCAGCAATGTCATACACTTGTTTTTCATGTTGAAGAACCTTCTCACGGTCCCCCTCAAATAGTAATGTAGCAACAGTTAACTGATTTGGATCAAATCCTTTAAACTACAAAATACAAAAAAAAAAGACATATACTTAGATAGATAGATAGATAGATAGATAGATAAATCTTTACCTGCGAAACAGTAAATCAAAAACATTTTGCTCTTTTTGTCCTTCTGACCTGGGCTCAAACATACCAACTCTAAAAATCGAGCTTTGGAACTTCACATGTCAATCAAAAAGAATGTTTAATATACCTGTTCAGGTTGTTATAAACAAAACTACAGAAAATACCTAATTTCAAAGTATGCCATGGTGTCAGTAGAAATGACATATTGATATGTAATAGAGCAAATAACTTGTAAGAATCATAACTGCAATAAAGAATCAAATAAAAATACCAAAATAATAGAACATAATGAATTAGCAAGATATAGGATGTAGATAAAAGTAAAAACTAACAGGGACCATTTCTTCTCTTACATACCAACTATAACTTCTTAATAACATTTTCAAAGGAGATCTTACATATAAAATTAAAATGAAAAATATCTGAGAATAATCATAAAAGAAAATACATAACCTCATTAGGAAAATGTGTCTAAAATGTTCTAGAATGCCTGAACTAAGTAAATAAATCTGTGAATTCTTGCTCAAACTAATATAACAGATTTACTCCAATTCTGATAGAAACCTTAACGGATTCCCTAAAATGGTGAAGAGTTTTTAAAAGTTTTCTATGTTGATAAACAGGTAGGTAATGATGGGTAACAAGAAAAATTCTAAAAACCAAGTAGATTTATAGTAATTAAATCCACTTAATTTTTCAAGAATAAAAACTCATTTTAAAAAAGTGATACCTTTTTTAAAATCCAATTTATTTAAACTAAAAACAAAAACAAAAACAGTTCACCCGCTCCTTCTACCCCTCCACCCCTGAAAACAAAAAGTTTGCCTTTTTCTCTTACCCTTCACCCCGTCTCTGGCAATCACCAGTCTGTTCTCTGTATCTATGAACTTAGTTTTTTTAATATTTTTTTTCTAGATTTTATGTAAAAGAGATCATACAGTATTTGACACACTAAAATGGGGTCCACTTCTTGAGTAAGTATATAAGAAGATGTCTTAGACATGACAAATCAATTGTAAGCAAAGTAAGGAAGTTAATGGTGCTGTTACAACTGGTTAGCAACTGGAGCGGAAAGTGAAGTTTAATTCAGATCTTCATCTCACACCATAAAATTGAAATAAATTCAAATAGTAACAAAGATTAAAAATTTTAAATTCATACTTAAGAAAAACCCAAGAGAGAGAAGAAACGGTCCCAATTATAGCTCTGGAGAAAGGGAGACTTTTCTAAGCTTACAAGTAATTAAATAGGGGCACCTGGGTGGCTCAGTCAGGTAAGCATCTAAACTCTTGATTTCGGCTCCGGTGATGATCTTGCGGTTCATGGGATGAGATCTGCATCCAGCTCTGCACTGACCACCCAGACAACGGGGAGCCTGCTTGGGATTCTGTCTCTCCCTCTCTCTGCAAACCGCCCTCCACTCCGCATGTGTGAGTTCACTCTCTCTCCCTCTCTCTCTCTCAAAATAAACAAACATTAAAAAAAAGAAGTGATTAAATAATCACAGAAAAATATATAAAAACTTGAAACTTTTGAACCAAAAAGAAAAACTCTTACTAAAAACAGAGTCACTTTGGGGGCACCTGGGTGGCTCAGTAGGTTAAGTGTCCGACTTCAGCTCAGGTCATGATTGCACAGTTCATGAGTTTGAGCCCTACGATGGGCTCGGTCCAGATAGCTCAGAGCCTGGAGCCTGCTTTGGATTCTGTGTCTCCCTCTCTCTCTGTCCCTCCCCCGATTGTGCCTGCACTTGCTCACTCTCTCTTTCTCTCTCTCTCTCTCTCTCTCTCTCAAAATAAATAAATAAATATTAAACGAAATTTTTAAAAAAGGGAGTCACTTGACTCAATTATTTACAACATTTGTAACAAAGGCATCTAGTCATTCCATTATTCAAAGGGTACACAGCAAAGCACCAAGAAAAAAATACCATGAAGCTGCCACCCCTGGCAAAATAATCACATTCAACTACTTCACACAAAAACTACATCCAGGAAATACAAGGAAATGATTAAGTCTCATTGGAGTTTCAATGAGAAACATTAAAAATACCACTTTTCCCCCTGGATTCAGTAAATCTGAAACAACAAAAACAAAACTCCTACATGAATAGCAAGGATGCAACAAAGAAACAGCACCTGTGTATCATGAGAGTGTAAGCTGGTATAACCCTTTAGAAAAGGAATTCAGTGAAAATTAAAAAAAAAAAATCCATACTCTTAGTACACTAGATATTGACATCTGCTATAAAAAAATCAAACTATAAAAAATTGTACATGCATGAAACTGTTTAAGGTACTGTTATTTTTAGAAACTTCAAATCTGGGGAAAAAATGAAAATTTCTGAAATTAAATGAATAACTGATTTACTCAATAAAATATTTATTCCAACATGAAAAATAATTATTATGAAATTTACATTCATGAAAAAACATAATAATAGGTACATGTGAAGGGTAAGAAGGCAGGAGACAAAATTAGTATCATAAGCATTTAAAATTTTGGCATTTAATAAAAATTCTTACCTTTGTAATATAAAACTTTTTTAAGCCATCCAAAAATGATGTAAAAATAGAGGAAACCTGAGGTTTAAGAGCATGACCTAAGAAGAGAAAAGTTCATATTTTAAATTAATAGCAAATTCTGTTTTTCAGAAGATTAAGAGGCTAGTTTAATTTAGTATCCTAAAAAAAGTGAATGTTTCATGACTCCAAATTTTAAAAATCTTCCTATGTTTTATGTATAACATACTGATATTAAGATTTACATCTTTCATCTTTATCTTCTTTCAAAAGTCACAACTATTTGTTTATTAAACCTCTCATTTCTTTTTGAACTCAAATTACCACATGTAATTAATACTACATATAGTTTAGGTTATCTTTCAGTGGTATAGTTTATACATAGTAAAATCACTTCATTAATTTTTATTTCATTAAGAACACCCAATGGTGGCTGGTTTTACTTTTATTTTTTTTAATTATGCAGAAACCATTCAGAACTATAACCAAATATGGAGTCAGTGCCAAGTTTAAGGTTGTTTCTTAATTAATTCCTAATTCTTCCAGAATTCTTGGCATAAAACTAGTAATTGCTTCCTTAATCACACCCAGAGAGTTAAAATTGCCAGAATAACATAAACGGTGTCTCAGAGTCTGTTAAATTAACATCTTTGCCTGCGGATTGAGTTTAATTGAGTGAAAGTCTTTTACTGTTTTCTCATTGTTTTCAGAGCAACTTCTTAACTCCCGTGACTGTTAGATTTAAGAGTCAGATACATCTGGCTTTAGTGCTATAAGGCCAATTCAGAAAAATGGGGCATACCATTTATATAGAATTTTTATAAAGAATTTTAAAGTCTCTAGTAAATCTGAAATTATCTCCAAGTAAAAAGTTTATTTTTTTAACAAGCTTTAAGATTTGGGGATTTTGTTTGTTTTTAAAGTATAGATCTGTTCTTTAAGATTGGTGCAAATAGCAAACTAGTTTCTTTGGGGGTGAGAGGGTAGATTTCTAGGGGGAAAAGACTATGATTTGTATGTAGTCTTCCCCCCCCATTCTTTTTTTTTTTTTAAGTTAGATTCTGAATCTGCAATACTTATTGCATTTTTACTGACTACAACAGGAAACTGTGTGATATAAAAGACCAAGTAACATAAGTCTTAACCAGAGATTAAGAGTTAGATATCCATGCTATAACTGAACAAAACAAAAAACAAAAGACAAATGAAGGCCAGATTAGATAGAGATCAACCCAGAAATCTTTTTGAGTACCTGGATCACAAGCAAGATGTTTGGAAAATTTTTTTCTTTTACTGTAACCTGTCAAAAAATGCTTTCCCAACATAATCAGTGCCTTAAGAGATACCATTTCTAATAAGTATAAAGTTAGAAATAACATATCAAAATATTCACTTCCTGTCCTAAATAGAATTCATCCTACTTAAACAACTGGAAATACATAAACATAAATGTATGAGTGTGTGAGTTGTGTTCTTGCAAGAAATTGATCCACAATTGATCCTTCTGATCCACACATCTTTACACCATGTATGAGGACTCCAAATGTTACTACACTGATGTGGAATAGTCCTTAAGGGTAAATGTTCGTAACACATGGAAATTCATTTGCACAATTTCCATTAACACTAGTGGGACTTAGTCACCTGTATCCCAAATATGGAGTTGACAAATTAGCTCTAAAGAATAATATTATAAAAGTGATACTAACTTTAAGTGGGTCAGCATTAGTATTAACCTAAGGGAATATTATTATCTTTTACTTATTAAATTAACATTGTCTTTCAAATTAATTACGTTCTAAATATATTCTGACTACTGTGTTTTATTTTTTATAGTAAATGAAGGAACTAAGTTTTCAGATTTACTAAACAGTATGATTAGTAAATGCTGTGTTGTTACAGTGTTACTTTTAAAATTTTAAATTATTGGGGTGCCTGGGTGGCTCAGTCCGTTGAGCGGCCGTTCAGCTCAGGTCATAATCTCACAGTTTGTGAGTTTGAGCCCCGCGTTGGGCTCTGTGCTGACAGCTCAGAGCCTGGAGCTTGTTTTGGATTCTGTGTCTCCCTCTCTGACCAATCCCCTGCTCAACACTCTGTGTCTCTCTCTCTCAAAAATAAACATTAAAAATTTTTTTTAATTTAAATTATTTAATAAATATCTACATTTCAAAGAAATGATCTCAAACAGTGGCAAAAGTTTTGGGCCTTGGAGTCTGACAGATTTGGATTCAACTCCTGCTCTACGACATATGACCTGTGGGCTGAAATATCTAGCCTTTGAGTCATCTCTAAACTGAGAATATTACTTTTAGGGACAGCTGTAAGGAGTATTTGATAAATTGTGCTATTGACATTGTGCTTAGGACTACACTATGTGCTCTCCAAGATTTATTCATCCTCTTTGGCTAAGTAGATGATTAAGTCAATCAACATGTCAGTACCTGTCATATGACAGGTGCAGGGGATATAAAAATGAATAAAAAACATCCCTAAATTTGACAAAATTTAGTGTTTCAGAGGAAATTCTACAGATCATTTCAATATACTCAATGATACCTATCACTTCAATACACTGAAAACAAATCATTTCAGTATAATGAACTAATAAGGGTTGTGTCAAGAGGCAGGAATGAAATTAAAAATATTAACATCTAATAATAAGGCTTGTGATTTGTTAAGGAGTATGGTACAAACACTGCCAATAAGCCATATGGCTGGTACAAAGTCCTGGACATCCCTTGCTGTGTTTAGCTGCGTGATCATGGAGCCATGGCAAGATATGTAGATGGCAAGGCTTCAACAGGTAGTGAGAAATCAAAAAGGTTATAGATAGCTGAGAAGCAGGAACAGATCTGTCTTTCCAAAGAATGACTTTGGCGGCCAAGTAAAGGGTGGAAGGAGACAAAAGATATAGTCAAGATGGAGAGGGTAGAGCCTACCTTAAAGCATGTTCCTAGATACAGCAATGAGAATGTGGAACAGGGATGAGAGATAGCCAGAAGGACATTTTCTTTAAACCTTCATCTTAAATTGCTATATATCCCAATTATAAATAAAATCTAGTCAAATTATAGTTAATTTTACAAAGGTGTTTATGACTATAACACACTATAATAATAGCATATAAATGGGCAAAAGCATTATTAATCAGATACATGGCTCTCTTAAGACCTAGATCTCTAAATGCAGGCCAAAACACAGAAGGCTTGATTTCCATTTGATTTAACTATTTAATTATTTAAAGGATGTACTTATCTTAAACTTTTACCAGTAGTATAGTATTTTGAAAATAATTTAAAGAAATAACAGCTATGACTTAAAAGAATCAAATTTTAAAACTAACTCTTGATATATTATGAACATGACTTCCATAAGCTTCTTTAAAAAAATTATTTTTTAATGTTTATTTATTTTTGAGAGAGACAGAGTGTGAGAGGGGGAGGGGCAGAGAGAGAGGCAGACACAGAATCCGAAGCAGGCTCCAGGCTCTGAGCTGTCAGCACAGAGGCCAATCTGGAGTTTGAACTCACAAGGCGTGAGATCACAACCTGAGCCGAAGTTGGAACGCTTAATCAACTGAGTCACCCAAGCACCCCTGACTTCTTTCAGCTTCTATACTATATAATCACTCTTCCCTAAATTAAAACCTAAACTACTCTTAAATAGAACAAACAAAAGTCTGCCTATCTTAGCCATTAGTGTTTACTACTGAGCAATCATTCCTATAATTTCAGGGACTGTTCTGAAGATACTTAAATTCTATGAACGTAAGTTCCAAACTCAATTTCAGCATATGGAAAAAAATATAAAAGCAATAAAATGAGAATTGAAAAGATGATAAACAGAGTCAGAAAGTTTAATACTTTAATGCAAAAAGGGGGAAAAAGAAACATGGTTACCTGGTACTCAATTCTCTACCTGAATATTCCAACAGTACCTTAAAAACAACCCATTGTAATGTCTTTTCCCCCAAATCATCATCTCTCTCCTAGACTGTTCATCAGTCCGCCCAGTCAGTCAAATCAGCAATCTTGGAGTTGCCCTCAACCCTTCTGTTTATGGAACCTTCCACATCTAGTTGGCAAACTGAGCTCTAGGAAATCTATGCCTTACTCTCTATCTCCATCGCTGCTTCCTTGATCAAGGCCCCCAAAATTGGCCCCTTGAACCATTTCCACTCCTCTTCCCCACCTGCACCATTCTACTCCACCCTGCATAATGCTAGCAGAATGGAGCATTCTCAGATGTAAATCCCTTTGCTGACATGGTAAAATCCAAGTCAATCCTGCAAAGCCCTACTCCACCCATCCAGCTTCATCTCTTGTAACAACTCTCACCCACCCTCTATTTGAGCCACATCGAACTACTTGAAGTGCAGAGATGCCACTGAGGTCTCACAATTTCATATTTTTTTCCTGATGAGTGAACAAATTTGGTAGGAGGGAAGAGGAAAACATCCCAAGCAAACTTCTATTCCCCTTAAGATTTAATGTAAGCATTACCCTCCTTTAAGAAGCCTTTCTTAGGGGAGCCTGAGTGGCTCAGTTCGTTTAAGCATCCAACTACAGCCCAGGTCATGATCTCGTGGTTTATGAGTTCGAGCCCTGCATCAGGCTCTGTGCTAACAGCTCAGAGGCTGGAGGCTGCTTCAGATTCTGTGTCTCCCTCTCTCTCTGCCCCTCTCCCACTTGCACTCTGTCTCTATCTTAAAAAATAAACATTAAAAAAAAAAAAAAAGCATCTTTCCTGAATCCCCATATTGACATCCAGCAAAATCCAGCAGGTTCAACCATTCCTTCATTTGCACCCAGGGTATCCAGTGCACTCTTCTTTCATAGCATCTCTAACAATCCTGCACTCATTCATTTCTGTAATTGTCTGTCACCATTAGACTAAGGGCTTCCTGAAGGACAGGAACTATGACATTCATCTTCCTAGCTCTGTATTCAGTACTCTTCCTGGCATGTAACAGCTGTTTCACAAATTTTGGGGCTTCATGAGCAGATTTTAAAATGACCATTCCTTACTTACCAAACTGAAACTGTTGGTTGTCCATGAGGCGAATAGATGCAGGAGCACATCTCTATTTTAAAAAGAAAAAATGTGATACAAATTTAATACTGTAAAGAAGCTACACAGGTAGAATGTAAATGCCATCTTTCTGTATGTGACATCAAGAGCTTAGTTCCTAAGAATATATACAGTAAAAAAAATCTTAACTTTATACAATTTTAAGATGATAAAACATCACTGACTTCTATAAAATATTTGGAAGAGAAATCTATATATATAATACACACACATGTATGTTGCCAGATCTTTGTCAGCAACAAGATCTTCTCAATGCCTAGCAAAGATCTATGGAAATACCTAAAAGAAACATTGGGCCTTGAAGTAGATTAGTTTAGAACAAAGTAGAAATTGCAAAGACTACAATCAACATTACACCATTTGTGAATTATAATGTATCTTCAGATTCTTATATACTTTTAAAATGAAGAAGATGATGGTAGAATTTTTCTGAGCAAAAACACCTCAAAAAATTATCTGTGATGTCTTCATACATAACTCTAAGAACTGTTGTTTTCCTTTTATCCCTTTCAATAATCCATTTTAAAAAGAAAAACTATCAGTGACCAGAATTCTAAAATCTTTCAAGGCATGAAAATAGCAACAAAATTCTGAAGGGTAACATTATGTATCTAGGACTCCACCAGTGTTAAATTTAATCTAGTCACCACACTAAAAGCTGCAAGGAAAGAAAAATGAGAACAGATAGTCATATAAATTTTGTATGCTGAAATACTACAATACAAACACTAGCAAGATTTAAGTTAGCTACAGCTTTTCCATAGTATTAAAGTGAGATGCATCCTAACGACAATTTTATTTTCTATGCAAATTTTTAACATGGTTAAACTTCTACCAAGAGGTTGCTTTCACATGACAAAATTTTGACTGTCATAAACTTTTTAAACATTTATCTTCTGCTAATAACATTTATAAATAAAATTTGTATCCATACAACATTAAGATATATGCAGATCATTCAAAAGAACAAAACTTAACACATAACTGCGCATTACAACATTTTTGCTATCATTTACTTTTAATTGAACAAATACTTAATTTTATAAAACCACTCACAATACACATTTTATTTCATCCAACAAAATAACCGAGTAGATTCTTATTTTGAGCACTACACAATTTACTCACCTTTGGTACTAAAGGTGATATTATTCAATCTATATTTTAAAAAGTCACTGCCAAATCTAAAGAAAACAGTATTAGGTAATTTTACATATATACCATAACAATAACCTATTGCCTTACTTTTATAGAATCTTGTGATGTCCAGGTTGTTTTCACATCTCTAATATAAGAAATAACCCCATCAGGGTAGCAGAACTGGTGTTATCCCCACTTTTCAGATGAGGACATAAGAACCAGAGAGATTAAAAGACTCGTCTGAGGTCATATGACTGTTAAGTAGACAAACTAGGACCAAGATATCTTGACTGCTGGATGAGGAATATTTCAAATAGACCACAAAGCCTCCCAAAAAATCACCTAACACACACATACATACATCACACACACAACACAAAGAGCTTTAAAGTCATACCTGAAACAAAAATTACATGAAAACTATGTGTTATACAGTTATTATACACACACACACACACACACACACACACACACACACAACCTGAGTAATTTCAAATCTTGGTATAAGGGTATCTTTGTAATCAGGCTGTGCTTCTAAAAGCCAAACCAGTTTCCAAAATACTACAGAAAAATCAATTTTCGTAAAATGCTCTTATTCAAACAGGCGTATCAACTTCTAATAACACATATGATGCCTAATTAGACCAAGTTTCTTTTCTGCATGAAATAAACAATATCATATTACATATATATTTATATGTTTTGGCTTAAGCACACCAGTAACATATGCAAAAGAATTCAGAGCCCTTCTGTCATTCTTAGAAAAAAACAAAAAACAAAAAACGAAACTTTTTTTTTAAGATTGTATTTTTAAATTCTCTATACCTAATGTCGAGCTTGAACTCACAATCCTCACTCTACTGACTGAGCCAGCCAAGCACCTACCCTCCCCAAAAACAACTTTTAAATTTGTACCAACTTGTAAATTCCATCTCCTACAGTCACCTAGTTTCTACTACCCCTGTACCTATATCAAGTGTTATTAGGGAAAACATTCAGCACAGAGACACATGTATCAGAAAATGGGGGAAAGTATGTTTAGTACAATAAATCTGTAGTGGAAATCAATCTCTGAAACAACTAAAATACAATAAATATGCAGGCCTTGATAAAAACTTGGTTTGAAAAGACTATCCATAAAATACATCTTGGGTAACTGAAATAATCTGTTTATAGAATGAACACTGGATGTCATTAAAGAAATTACTGTTGATTTTCTTCGACATGATAATAGTACTGTGGCTGTGAAGAAAAACACCTTTATTTTTAGGAGATGTATGTTTAAATGCTTAGAGATCAAGTGCCATGATGTCTGCAACTTAATTTTAAATGGCCCAGAAAACACATACAGAAACATTTAAAACAACATAAGAAAAAGTCAATTGTTGAATATACAAGATAAACATACAAGTGATCGCCATCCTCTTCTTTCAAAGTTTCTGTATGCTTAAAACTTTCAAATTAAAAAGTTGGAAAAATAAGTAAGGAAGCTTCAGGACACGTGGTACACATAACAACCAATATTCAATAATATTGAATATGATTTTAACTTGACAGCTGAGTCATATAAAGCTGAGTCAGTCATGGACTATTCCTATTTGTACTGAGGCAGAGTAGATGGTTACAGACACTTATCAAATGAGAATAACTACTAACACTTATCAAAAAAGAATAAAAAGCTAAAGAGAATTTGGTGTATGTAGATAATAAATATTAGTTTTCAATACTGGCTTTTTAAAAATGATCAAAATGAAACCACAGCTTTATTAAGTCTCATGTTTTAATAGTGTCATTTTTTTTAAAAAGTCAGTAAATGAGTATTTTAGTTATCATCACAAGTAAATTCTCATAAGTAAAGCACCCAAATTAAAAAACAGTATCTAGATTGTTTTATGATCCTCTGGCCATTGATTATTTGCAAATCACTGTGCATCATTCTAAAAAAAAAAAAGCAGAAAAGTCTCTTAGAATTTTATATGAAAACCTGCCAGTATCACTAATTGTAAGTTCCTATAATCGAAAGACCAAAATAATGTTTCTATTCTTAAAAAATAACATTCAATCTGGGTAACACTACCTATGGTTAAGACTACATTATGTTTCAATTGCTATGAAACTAATTTGAAAACCTAAAAATATTTCCTTTAAAAGTTAGAGACATCACAAATTCGGAGAATTTGAGCTCTAAATTCACTCCCATGCTTTTCAATTATACTGAGTATTCCATAGATGAAGAAAGGGGGAAAAGGGTTCTTGAGTTAAAGTGACCCCTAGTGGTATGGGACCAGAAATAACCTGAGAGAGAATAGTTTTACCAAGTAATTTTTTTGGTGGGTTAATAATACATTCAGGGAATTTAAGGAACATCAAACAAAAACTGTTTACTCAAAATGGAGTTAATAAAATAACTGATTTATTTCCTACTATGATAAATTTATTTTTACTAGAATATCTGATGTCATCTGACTTGTACCCAAGTATACTTTATATGTAATAAGTAGTCTGCAAAGATATGAGAAACTCATTATTGACCTTAAGGAAATATCAATTATCTTTGTTTTACCCAAGCAAAGAAGAAATAAATAATCACATTGACCTCAAAGCACTAGTACGAGACTGACTAAGTCAAACTGCTGACAATTTCTTCCCTTTAATGATGTTACAACCAGGAATTTAATATATAAACCTGAAAAATAAATAACAACCACTCTCATTAGTCTTATTTAATTCTGAGTACAATTCTCTTTACTAACAACTTAAAAAAAGCAACAGATTTCTCAATCTAACCATTTTCTCCAAAAAAAAAAAAAAGTCCCTATAAGAAACACATCAAAAGATTTCTGCAAAATCTGTTTTTATGGACCTAATTCGTATCTCTTTCTTATCACAGAGAAAACCAGAACTTGCACTGCAGATGTGACACATTATTTGTGAGGGTTTCGCTTAGTTTACTAAATACTAGCAAAAGAAATTCGATATTAACATATCTCAAAAGGCATCGGGATTTCTACTATTCCAACTTCATAAACATAAAATATAAGCAGTGAATGGTAGTCCTATATCTTTGGTGCCTTGTTTAACACCTTTGAATTGAAAAGGCTTGTTTCTTCAAGAAGTAAATCACACATTCAGTGTAGACTCTAGAATGGCCCAAACTCCTAAACCTTGAGTCTATTTTGGAGATAGTCTAGTAACCTCACACTATATCAGAAGCCAAAGCTCCAATACCAAACTCCTTGTACCTAGCCATACAAAAGCTTAAACACATAAAATTTATCATGATATGCAACATCTGTAGTGATTACTAGAAGACAGGAATCATGTCTATTTAACTTACACAATATCCAATATACTTTGTTGAATATAAAGTTAAGAGCACACTATCTTACATACAGATAAACAAAAAAATGTTTAAAAAAGGATATGTGAAAAGAATTCTGCTAACTGCAAATTTCTATATATAAAAACTTAAAATGTAGACAGATAATTGGTTCTTCCTCAGAGCTGGTACCACAGATAAAATCAGACAGTATTTAAGGCTATTCGTATAACTGGTTAGTCCTGCTGGAAGTCACATACTGGCTTACAGCTACATATTATACAGTAGATATTTCCCTCCATTTATATAAGGGAAGAGCCAATAATGCCAAACAGTCTCTGGTTCATCATTTTCATTTTTCACTTTGTACATGTATAATGACTTGTTCTGAGTAGCTCCTGCTTAAAAGCATGTCTTGTAACTGTCCTCAAGTTTAACACATTCTGCTGGATCACATAGTAAAGAATCCAATTAATCAAACTTTTACCTAGGGGCTAGGTTATTTTCTCTGCCTCAGAGGGAGAAAAGCATCACACACACACACACGTGCATGCACACACATAATGATTTAAAATAACAATGCCTTTTTCTACACATAACAAATTATTATTTCCAAGAATTATCACTGAATATAAAGCAGTTTTAATTATTTTATAATGTAATTGCTAAACCTAACTCCTTTCAATTTATTTCAACCCCTCCAGGATAAGTCAAGTTTAAGACAGAACAATTCAGAATTGAGACATAATAGTCTGAGGAGGTGTCAAATATGAACTATGTATTTCTTTCCAAATTATGGTCTAAGCTCTCTAGAAAAAACGACAACACCCTATCAGTTTAAAACTGTTTAAAATAAAAGTGATGGTAGGTAGAATGGGCCACACCTTGCCAAAAGACAGGGAGAGAAAAACCTCCCTTTTCAATCTGTAATTCTACAAACCTAGTTCTGATACTGAGAAAGACAGTTTTCGGAGGAATGCATACGGAAATGTGCCACACATACAGTGTTTCCTCTTAATGGAACATATGGTCCTCCCTCAATACTACAGGGCATAACTCTTAAGTTTTTACTGGGAAGGGAAAATCCCAGACTTCAAAAACTGCTCAATTTGAGCTTATTTCAACCTTTTTTCCCTTAAAACTTTATAAAAATATCATTGTTATTTCTAAACAAACAATAAGAGAATAATAAAATATACCTGAAACTGATATTCTGATTAAAAAACACTATTTCCTCTCACCTGAGAGGCTACAGTAAGAAATCTATTTTCTCAAAGTCTTAAAAATCACTTACTTACCCATCTACTGAGTTAAGTTGGAGATTATACTGGACTGCCATTTATTAGATAGAATCACATTAATCTTCTACTAAATCTTCCTTTCTAGCTCCTCACAAGGCAGTGAAGTATTGAAAGAGGACAATCCTCACGTGGACAAAGATTAGATGAGAGACCTTAGTAGAATCCTTCTGCTGTCAGTATAAAGTTGCTTAATTTATTTCCTTCAGTAAGAACAGTGATGAAAATATACAAAGAGCCCACTTTGCTATTTGTAAACAATCATGTATACTCCTTTCCAAAAGATATATATCCAAAATACAGTTTCCCATTTCAAAAGCAACTTGAGTCTGAAAATACCGTAAAAATGGAAGTGCTATGAAGTGACAGTGAGGAATTACAACCAGCCAACTCATTATTCAATCAAGAATTTGGCACAATCATAAACCATGTATCATCTATTTTAATGGATCTTAATTCTCTTCCTATCAGCTGAAATTCCAAATTGCAAATTGAACAACTAGTGCCAAAATCTGATCATTTTCTCAATTTTTCTGCCTGAGAATACTGTTACAAAGCAGGGCAGCACACGTCGTTCCATTCTTGACATATGAGATTTGTACATTCTGTAAACTAATATGTAAATGTCTCTAAGCCATAATACAAGCATTTGCCCATTTCCAGGGCAGGTAAACATTCATACTTATCTATCTGTGCAGAAGTAAAATATATATGTTCCTCAAACAGTGGAATATCTCCAAATCACAGTAACTATTCTTAGCAATTGTTTCATTCATACAAGTAATATTTGAAAATAAAATAGTATCTATCTAGGCTTTTTAATCAGTTTCAAGAAAGACAAACTTTCTAGTCACGTGGTATGTATGCCTTTAAAAACTGTCTATTACCAAGTACACAGAACCAATTTATTAAAACTATAGATTAGAGGGGAGCTTTCCTTTAAGGTCTTTAACCACAGGGTAGCACTTTCTATCAGCTATCACCTTTGTTTATTCCAAACTACATACCCAATACAGTTTTGTGTAGTCAATTTAGATTACAGTCACTGGTGAATATCCAAAGAATTTTTTAAAACGAGTAAAAGCGCAATTTTTACTGACTTATGCAAGGATGAAGGAAAATTTCACCCCCTGCTTTTCATTAGCACAAGTAGTTCTCTATTACTTTCTATCAGGGGCATATATTAAATTGCAACAAAAACTGCATCAGATTATAGCAACTATGTTTAAATCCAATATTTCCATTTTAATAAAATTATAAATTTAGGATTCTGATACATTTGTACATCATTTCTCATTAATGAAACCTAAGATATATTTACATATTTACAATGCAGAAAAGAGGAAAGCATAAATATGTCTACCTTTACTTCCAAGATCACCTAGCAACATTTTTTCACAAGTCTACTAAATCTGTGTTCTACAGAGTGGAGAGCTTGTGAAGGGGCAGATTTGACCAACATAGACTGAATGTGACCTCATCAAAGATCTTTTGTTGAAAATACATATAAATCAGATAGTTTTATCGATTCTGTAATTATTTTTAAAAATCCAATGTGGCATTCTTGCTTATTTTGCCATAAAAAATGGAGACAACAATAGCCAATTAAAAAGATGTCATATTCAAAACTTGAAAAAGAGAGATACTACGAACTATAAATTTTATGATAAAGCTTTTTTGGGGAGGGGAAATAATAAAGCTTAACAAAGACAGAAACAAATAAAAGTACTTAACACCAAGAATAAATTATAATACAAGGTGAAAACACTTAAAAAAAATCATTAAGGGAGACTGAAATTGATAAGAAATACAATCTAATAATGGGAAATGTTTGGTTTGATTTTTAATAGGTGAACTTACTTACAGTAATTTTCTAAACAAAGCAAAACAAACAAACAAAAAACAACATGAAAACTTAGCTTTCCATTCTTCTAGGTTTTAACTCACAGGCAAAACCATAACATTTTGCAATTAGTTCTTTTATTCCTTAACATCTAGGCTATCTTAAATTTGAAATTCTCTTCCTTTGCCTTTAAATGTGGAAGGTTTTAGTGACAAGTATCAGAACACGCTTGAACTTTACTACTCAGTGCTCAGATATCATGTCAGAATAACAAATAGTATTTACTCCTGAAACTTATTTCCACTTCTCCTTTATTCAGTAGTCCTGCTTTTAAATATAATATTTAATATTACATTAAATATATGATGTATATTGATATTTAATATGTAATGTATATTACATATTTATATATTAAAATAATATTTAAATATTATATCATCTCATTATTTTAGCAAATAGCATAATACTTAACTATATATTCTAGCACCCTAACCATAACATAATATCCCCAAGGTTCTAGGAATTAGGAGCTCTTCTTGTAAAAGTTTCAACTATTAACATTTGTTTTTGCTTTACCACCACCAAAGTAACCTGCCAGTAGTTTAAGAATGTTCATTCTAGGACTATACTTCTTTTTTAAATTATTCTCCCACCCAGCAGGAAGAAATCAAGACTAAGGGGCCTATGGTTAAATCTTAATGCAGGAAGCAATTTTACTGATAAGTAACTGAAGCTACCTGGAAATTACAGAAATTATCCTTGTCAACTGTTAGATTAAGTGACCATATAGCTGAACCTCCTCCAAGCAGAAAACTAACGGAAAAAATGAATGTCTCAGAAAGCAAAACTGAATATATGAAAGAAAGAACCCTAAAAATGGTAAATATGTGAGTAACTGTGAAATATTTTTGCTTATTTTAAATTTCTTTAAGACATTTATGTCGTAGAATGGTGGGAAGATAAGACTCTTGACCACTTTCCATTTCCGTACTTGAAAGAGTCCACAATGAATATGGAGTATTTGCTGGATATCATTCCTTTGCCTCAGCAGATCCTCGCTTCACTCTGCTCATGATATACCTGGAGGCTGACCTATATGGGTCAGGTTGGAAAGGTCCCTTGCCTCAAGATTCTAGTTGCATACAGCTGATGGGAAGTACTAAAGAACTCCAGGAGTTTGGAGAAAGCAAGAAGAAACAGGCTGCAGTATACTCCCTTGATTTCCTCCCCACTGTGAAATGCTGAAATGAGAATTTTTCACAAACCATCGTAGTTCAAATAATGAACCAAATACCTAAAGAAATGCAAGAATTTCTACACTGATACACAGAATACAGAAATAAAATTACTTGATACTACCTAGTCTTTTAAAAATCCTTAATATTATATCTTTTTTTTTAAATAAGGGAACAGAAAATGGGAATTCTTCTTAACTTATAGCTAAATATATTATGTTATATTATGTTATTTAACTTAAGCTATAGCCTAGGTACTATTATAAAACAAAGTAGGGTCTAGTAGTAGCATATTCTAAGTATTGATAAAGTTTGATTACCTATATTTAATTTCTATATTTTTGATCACTGACAATCAGCCATTTATTTTAATTTCAATAAATGTCTTAGTTTAAGAAAAATTATATATTACTTCAAATTAATCACAAAATATCTTACCTAAAAATAATTTAAGAAAACATAACATTCATTAAAGGCAGAGTCATTCAAAGCCATCAACCCAAGTATATACCTTACCTTGGCTTAAAATCACACAGCACTCTTTAAACCAAGAAATAAAGAAATAGCAACTGCACTTACAGGGATGATTTTACATTACCTTTTCATACAGAACTGGGGAAAAACCACATATATAACACAACTAAATATGAAGATTATATGTGACATACAAAATCAGTTACGCAGAATTTTTAAACTATAAATATATATGGGTGGGTTTTTGTTCTTTTTTGTTTGTTTGTTTTTACCTGTTTTGCAATTTCTCTTAAACAGGCTACTCCTTGTTCAAAATTAGGGAAAGCTACTGAGCCATACTTTTGGTATTCAGGGATTGGTCTGATTTTTATTGTAGCTTCTGTTATCACACCAAGAGTTCCTGAAAAAGAAGGGGGAATAATCCAATATATCACATGCCAATTTTCTAAGTCATATTTAAATCTATTTTATCTATTTATTCTATTAATTTATTCTATTCATATTTAAATCTATTTAATCTATTCTATGTGGGGAATAATGGCTACTCAAGTCTTTTTAGAAAAACAAACATTTTATAATTTCTGAAAAAAGTTTTTGGAATACATTCTTCTTATGTTATATATAAATACTTTAAGACATTTTTAAGGTAACCCTTCTCCAAGGTTACTTTTAAATCATTTGAAAAGCATTACAACCTACTAAAAGAAAACAAATTTTAAAACAACAGGTTTTTATATCTCATATACATTCAGACAAAACTATATTTTGATATTTGTGCCTACTTTTACTGTGAGAACAATTTACTGGGGCAAAAAGAAACCTCTATGAGAATTTAAAATGATAGAAGAAATTAGAGGGACTATTATTATCTCGCCTTTTTTCCTAAGAATTCATACAATGACAAAGGCAACACTGGGATGCCCTTGTAAAACAGAAAACAAAAAACAAAACAAAAAGAAAAAAAAAAACAGATATTTCAGAGACAAAATAGTTACTATAAATATCTAGCACAAGAGAACCACTAGTGAAACAAATGCTCTTTTCTTTATTACACAGAGGAGAGAAAAATCAAAGAGGAAAATAGCAAGTTAAATATAAACTATATTCTACATGATTTAAATAACTATACTAAAATATTTGAAGAGACATGGTTAAAAATTATTATATTCACAATGTCACACTTTTCAAATCAGTGATTTCTGATGTACAAATGTTAGAAATTATTAACACTAGCAGTAAATTTTCTGAGAATCACAAAAAAAAGAATAAAGACGGAAAGCTTTGAATTGGAGAACTTAATGACAACACTAGAAATAAATAAATAAATAAATAAATAAATAAATAGTATCACAAAAAAAGCGTTCAATAAATTTATAATATACTCAAAATGTCAGTATAGAATACAAGATAGAAAACTATGAAACTTTTTACTATGTAAAAAGTAAATTACATTAGATCACAATATGTTCCTCACATATACAAATGACTGCCTATGGAGATAGCAAATATGACCCCATTATGACTTGTAAAATTACAGAAACTCTGCAAGTTTGGCCTGATTAGTATTTGAATAAAAAGTAGATATATCTTGTAAATTTTAAAAGATAACAAGTGACTAGACTTTATCTTTTATTTTAGCATCTTTATTGAGATATAATTCATAGACCATAAAATTCACCCATTTAAAGTGTAAAACTCAATGTTTTTCAGTATGTGCATAGATATATGCAACTATCATTAAATCTAAGTTTAGAACATCTTCCTCACCCCAAAAAAGAAACCCCATATCCATGAAACAGTCATTCTCCATCACCCCCCCATCCCCACATACATACTCAGCCCTAGACAACCACTAACTTCTACAAATTTGTCTATTCTGAATATTTCATATAAATGGAATTTTACAATATGTGTTTTTTTGTGACTGGCTTCACTTAGATAATGTTTTCAAGGTTTATCCCTGTTATAACATGTATTAGTACTTCCATTTTTTTAAAATTATGAACTATTACTCCAATGTATACAGAACTCATTTTGTTTACCCATCGTTAGTTGATGGGCATTTGGGTTTCCACATTTTTTTTTTACTAGCTTGTCAATGTAATATAAAATGATACTACTCAGGAAGAGTTAAGATGAAAAAAAAAAGAGAGATGCAGAGGGCAAAGTATGGTGAAAGGGGCTGAGTTTCCATGCCCTTTCCAGATGCACCACCCTCCCAGCACTTCCATGTGTTAATCAACATGGAAGCTCTCCAAAACCTGCATTTTAGTAATTTTTATGAAAGCTTCATCACAGAGGCATGACTGATTGAACCACTAATTCAATGTTCAGTCCCTCTCCCCTCGCAGAGCTGAAAGTTCCATAGGTTTCCACATTTTGGCTGCTATAAATAATGCTACTGTGAATATATATACAAATCTACACACATATTTTTGTGTGGATGTGTGTTCTCTTTTCTCTGAAATATATACGTGAAGACTTTTTTCATTTCAGAAAAACCTGTGATCCTTTTCCATATAACAACACTGCCCTCATCTACCTTTTCCTAAAGTTACATTCCAGGCACATACCACCAAGATGTGGGAGAAGTGGGGAAGAGATTGGCTCACTTCTAGTACCCAACCTTAGCTGGTGGGGCAGAGGCTCTACTTGGAGTGTTATACTAATACTGGGATCCCAATCACCCTTGGCCTGGCTTGCAAAGAGTTGGTATCTTGCCAGGAGAAGCAAACCAAGAAGATGTGTTTTCCTTCTCTCTTCTCCCTAGCACTGAGCTACTAAAGCAGTGATGTCCTCAGAGAAAAGCATGCCATTGCTCTGCTGCTCCTCTCTCCTCCCTTCGCCTCCAGGATCAAGGCTCAGAGATTTTACAGGGGTGGAGGAGGGAGGGGGTAAGGGAACACAAACCAAAAAATAGCTCCTAATCTCTTTCCAAAGAAAATTACTTTGTTTGCAACACAGCATGAAGAAGTTCAAGCCTAAAACACTCTCAAAACAGTGGAGGATTTGGTAAAAGGCAACTGGGAGGACATAGGTTAATTTATTGAAAATAAAGGCAAGACTGTAGGCCAGTTAATTTGCCTGTATAGAAACAGTGGGAAGGACCCCAACCATGCTCAGAAAAGACTCTCAAACACTAATCTCAGGAACTATCCCTGCTAAGGGATACACTTTAAAATGGGTGAATTTTATGGTTTGTGAACTGTATTTCAATAAAGCTATTTTAAAATAACCATTATAACTTAATTCTCCAAATGAATTACAAATGAAACTTCAGAGTTATTTCCTTAAATAAGGAACTAACCATCATGCATTTTACAAATAGAAAAATTTTAAGAAATAGATATCTTAGACTATAGAAAGAGTCTAAGAGAACTTCTAAACCTTTGCCAAAGAGGCAAAAGGCTGACAGGTAAACTATTAATACTATGCTGTCTCCTCATCCACCAGCACAGAATTTTCTATCACACCTGTTCTTTCTTACCAATACAAGTAGTACTACTTTAATTTTTAATGTTGCTAATCTTCCTACTACTACAGTGACACCATCACTAAACTTATTTGTAATTCTTTCAACTCTTTTCAACATTTTTAGAAGCTTCTATAGCCTTGGAACTAACATCTGATGCTAAAAGTTCTTTCTACAAATAAATTGAAATTTGACAGGCATGTACTCCTAAACACAGGAATCATCTCCTCTATTTAATCTGACCACAGATTACAGAAAAATTTAATAAATACTTGCTGAAACTCAACAGTCACCAGATTGAAATTCATTAAGGAAAAGGTTAATATAAGCCTTGACTGTAGACAGGAAAACATCTATTTAAAACTAAACTCCAAGTTCCCAGGTTTTTGTGAAATATTTCCTTAACATCTGACAAGTGAAGCCATTTGAAAATATTTCTTTGAATTATAGAATATAATCTAAACGTAACCTAAATATAACCCAGGAAAAAAAGCCAGAAACCATTTAAATGCCAATCAATGAGGGTCTGGTTAAATACATCGGTATACATTCAAGTAGCTGTCAAAAAGAATGAAGTGGCTCTAAATGTAATGATACTTACATGGACTCAGCTTTATAAAATGAAGTGTAAAGCAAAGAGTAGTAAACTCCTGTTTGTGTTTTTAAAACTGTATACATATATACTGATCTACAGCAGTTAAGTGTTTACTCTGAACAAGGGAGATGCTTGGAAGACAGGGATAGAAGGCAGATTTTCCCTTGTACATCCTTCAGTACCTTTTGAATTTTGTACATTTGTCCATATTTTAATTTTGTACATGTAATTATTCAAAAAGTTGATTTTAAAATATATATACCTTTACATTAGCAAACTTCCTTTAAAATTCTACATCAAAATTCTAAGGTACCAGTGAAAAGTGACTATGCCTTAAACCCCTATATACCTGTACTGCCTCGTATGTAGTAGAGCAGGCACTCTGAAGTAGTAAAATCCACCATAACATTATAAGTTAGGTTAAAAAAGATGATAATCAGTAAAGTGAGACTTTGCATTATTGTAAGGATAGTGAAATGCCTAAGGTGAGTCTCTGCAACTATCTAGCTATTAGCTCTACAGGGGGTCCCACTGTGAAAGCAAAATCATCTAGGTCTCAGACACAGTTTGAAGGAGGGCAGCTTCCATTCAGATTTACATTCAAATTAGCCCATCACAAATGGATATATCTAAATTCACTTAATCAAAAGGCTCATTTCTGTTCTGTTTTATTGTATTTATTGATTCTTTTGTTTTGGGAGTATTGTCAATGGAGTGATATGAAAGACTTGGACTACTTATCACTTGATTATATGTACATTATACCACTTTATACACTTCATATTTTATATCTACTTAGTATTATTACTTATAGATAACTCCATGGCAAGATGACATCATAGAGGTTTATATATCATTCACTTTTCTTTCTCTTTTATCCAAAATATGTTGCAATAAATTTAAATATCTTCTGTTTTATAATTTTCAAATGTAATGTTTGTTCTCAAGAAAACTAAAAGCTTCAATTGCTACTTGATATAAAATGCAAGTATTTGCTTAAAGTAAATAAAATCTTTTGTAATTTGAAAATATACTTTCAGGTAACTTCAGGACTAAGAAAATGGCAGTCATTTGATTCTGAAACTTCTCCCCTCTCTACTCCCCCGCCCCCCCAAAAAAAACCCATAAAAATCAACAAGTAAAACAAAACCACAAATAATGCTGAAATAAAACCTTCATTTTTTTTGGCTATCATTTTTTTTAAATATATGAAATTTATTGTCAAATTGGTTTCCATACAATACCCAGTGCTCATCCCAAAAGATGCCCTCTTCAATACCCATCACCCACCCTCCCCTCCCTCCCACCCCCCATCAGCCCTCAGTTTGTTCTC